CAGCCTCCAGCTGCAGCTCCCCCAGGCTGCTGGTGAAGAGCCCGGTCAGCGTCCGGATGCTGCCGTCCAGCCTGAGGGACACAAAGGCTGCTGTCACCTCCAGCTCACCCCCCCAAGCACAGGGACAGGGCCCCTCGGGACATGCCCCTGGTAACAGGCACTGGGCTGACCTGACAAACTTCTGCTGAGTCTCCTCGTTCTGCAGAGCCCAGCGGAGGCGGCCGAGCGATCGCTTCCTGTCCTCCGAGCCCCTCTGCACCCCCCTGAGCAGCTCCAGAACCTGGCCAGGGAATTCAGAGCTGGGTGAGCTTCCAGCAGTGCCAGCATTAAGATTTAGCCCCGTTAATCCTCGAGGCAAAGGAGCCCAGGGCATAAAGGTGGGCACAAGGAGCCTCAACTGTGCCTGGCAGTGAAGCAGAACCATTCCCAAACCCACCCCTGCCCAGCCTCCATGCTGAGTCTGGCAGTGAACCAGAACCATTCCCAAACCCACCCCTGCCCAGCCTCCTTCATGCTGAGTCTGGGGAAGACCCCCGGGACCCCCATTGCCACAGAGAACATCAGGTTCTTCACCTCATCCTCTGAGAGTGGGTCTGGCACGATGTCTGCTCCATCCTGGGCCGCGCTGTCCTCCCGCAGGAGCCGCTTGCTGACCAGCTGCTCCTGCCGCCGGGCCTTCCTGAGAGCTGCCAGGACACGTCAGCTCCTGCCTGGGGCAGGACGCTCCTCCATCCCCCCCAGGAGCCTCATTCCTCCCTTAATCCAGGGGGGAACTGCTCGTTCCTCCCCGTGCTTCATATCCATCCCTGGAAGGATGCACGAGCAGGGACTGCACTTGGAGCTGGGCTGAGGGCCGGGCACACAAAGCGTGAAGCCACTGCTGGGAGAATGGGCAGGAAAACTAAACCAGCTGGAGGGAGCTGAGGCTGGATTACACACACAACCATAAAATCATTAAAGTTAGGAAAGCGGTGCAAGATCATCAACTGCAACCTTCAACTGAACATCACCAGGGCCACTAAGCCATGCCCCAAATGCCCCATCTACTTGTTTTTGGAAAACACCTCCAGGAATGGTGTGCAGCCTGTTCCAATGCCTGACCACCCTTCTGATAAAGAAATTTTCCTTAATATCCACCCTAAGCCTGCCCAGGCCCAGCCTGAGGCCTTTTCCTCCTCCTGTCCCTGTTCCTGGGAGCAAAGCCCGAGCCCCCGGCTGTCCCCTCCTGTCAGGAGCTGTGCAGAGCCACAAGGTTCCCCTGAGCCTCCTTTGCTCCAGGCTAAGACACAGACGAGACCTTGGAACACGCGAACAGTGGGGGGGCTGTGGAAGAAACGGGGAATTCACGGCAGAAACCCCAGGGTTAAACCCGAACCTGTAGAACGCTTCCCGAGCGGGCAGCGCCGCCGCTCGCCCCGCGCATCCCGCGGGGCGCGGCCGGGCGGGGCGGGGATGGGATGGGGCGGGGATGGGATGGGATGGGGCCGGCAAGGGCTGAGCTGGGGGACCCCCCCCACCCCCGGGGGACCCCGCAGACCCCCGGCAGTGCCCGCTGCCCCCGGCCGGACCTGCCTCTCGCTCCCGCCGCCGCGCCCGCAGCTCCTCCGCGCTGCGCCCGCCGCGCCCGCCCCGCCGCCGGCCCCACATGGCGGAGCGGGAGGAGGAGGAGGAGGAGGAGGAGGAGGAGGAGGAGGAAAAGGCCGTCCGGGGCGGTCCCGGGGCGGGGAAAACACGATGCCGGCCCCTGCGCCGCCGGAGCGCGCTGCGGGCGCGGGCGGCTGTGCCCCGCGGGGATCCGTGCTGGGGATGCGGAGGGCAAAAAAAGCCCCCAGAGATTCCCCAGGAGTACGGAACAAGGCGGCTCGGTGCCCAGGGACCTTCCGCCGTGGTGGTGGGATTCGGGGGGCAGAGGAGCTCGTGTTTCCCCAGCGAAGTGTTTGGGGAATTTGCAGCTGGAGGGCAGAAATGAAAGGCACCGGCCCCGGCAGGGCTCGTCAGAAGGGGCCGGGAGGAGAGCTCAGAGGGCGCCTGTGATTTCTCCATCATGCTCTCAGCAACAGTTTCATGGAATTCCAGACCCATTTAGATAGGAAGAGACCTTAAAGCTCATCCAGTTCCAACCCCTCCACCACGGGCAGCGACACCTTCCGCTATCCCAGCTTGCTCCAAGCCCCATCCAGCCTGGCCTTGGGCACTTCCAGGGGTGCATCAGCCACAGCTGCTCTGGGCAGTCTGTGCCAAGGCCTGTCCACCCTCACAGGGGGGAATTCCTTCCCAACATCCCATCTATCCCTGCCTCTGGCATTCCTGTGTCCTGTCACTCCAGGCCCTTCGCCGAAGTCCCTCTCCTGAACTTCCTTTAGGCCCTGGAAGGGCTCTGAGGTCTCCCCTGAGCCTTCTCCAGGCTGAAGAGCTCCATCTCCCAGCCTGTCTGCACAGCAGAGGGGCTCCAGCCCCTGGAGCATTTCTGTGGTCTCCTCTGGACTTGCTCCAGCAGCTCCATGTCCTTGTGCTGAGGAATTTCATGTAAACCGAGGATGTAGAAAAGGAATCATGGAATTGCTGAGCACCTCTGCACAAGTGTCCCAGAGAGCAAGGGACCCAGCCCAGCTGCTGTGGCACCAAGGTGTAGTGCCACATTAACTGCAGCAAACTGGGAGCTGCATTGTCCAGCCCTGCAATTCCATTGTTGGAGCCCTGGATGCTGAGTATTTTAAACTTTCTGTGCTGAAAGGCACAGACCCACAAGAGAACACTGCATTTGACCTGAGGCTGTGGAGAAGGCTTCCAAAATTCACTAAGAGCACTGGGATTACGAGTAGTTGGTTAGAAGTGTGTGATCTTACAGGTTGAAAAAACTTAGATTTGGGATTTTAGTATATGGTGATATATGGGAGCCAAGATGGAGAATTTTGAGGGTGGGTTAGTTGTCTTTTTTGCACCTTCTTCTTTCTTCTTCCTCATGGATCTGTGTGGTTTTCTATAATTGGGTGAAAGGTGTCCATGTTGCAAGGTTTGGGTGATCATAATTGGGTTAGAAGCATAAATAATATAGAGGTCAACTGTTGAATAATTGGGACTTAAATAGCCTTGAATAGACACCGTTTTATGTCATTTTATTGACTTGTTAGAGAGAGCTCACATCTCGTGAGTTTGTAATAGATAAGGATAATAAACTTCACAGTGAGACTTCAAAAACAGCGTCTCCTGAGTTTTATTTGCCCTGACTTTGAAGCAAGAAAGGGCCTGGTATTCCAACATTTCATTACTTTTCCGAAGCCCTTTATGAATCCAACACAGGCAGAGAAATCTCTGGGAAAGAAAAGAATTCCTGACAGATCACAGAATCACAGAAACTTTTAACTTGGAAAAGATCTCCAAGATCATCAAGACCAACCTTTGACCACCACCTTGTCAGCCAGACCAGAGCACTCAGTGCCACATCCAGCATTTCTGGAACACTTCTGGCTCCTCCTGGCACAGGAGTGTCCTGAGCAGCTCCAGGCTGCCTGGACAATGGGTGGGAATTGTGCCATCCCCATCCTACACGGAACACAGGTCCCTGGGCACGGTCTGGATGCCAGGTATGACAGTGCTGTACGCTTCTGCATTGCCTGCAGGGTGCTCAGCAATAGCAGAGCATCCTGAAAATGCATTTGGGGAGCCCTGCCCGCGCTGTTCTGTCACCCTTCCGAGGAAAGGCGCTCCGGCCGCAGCCTTTCCCAGCCCGCAGCCGCAGGGAAGCGAAGCAGAAGTGCTCGGGTGGCTCCGTCCCGCTCAGGAAGTCACGCTGGGGAGCCGGGGCTGTGCCAGGGAGCCGGGGCTGTGCCAGGGAGCCGGGCTGTGCCAGGGAGCCGGGCTCGAGGTGTCTGCCGTGGGCAGCTCCGGCTGCTGGAGCACAGCTGGAGCACAGCTGGAGCACAGCTGGAGCACAGCTGGAGCTCTGAGGGCTCCCCCGCGGGGTCCTGGGCAGTGTCGGGTGCCGGACGGAGCCGAGCTCGGAGCCTTTGGCAGCTCCGCGCGGGTTTGGCAGCGGCTGGAGGAAGGAGCGGAGCGAGGGAGGTTTCGGTGTGGGCTGCCCGGTGAGTGAGTCACGGCACGGACGCTCCGGGGCTGCTCCCGGGCTGCTCCCGGGTTGCTCCCGGGCTGCTCCCGGGCTGCTCCGGGGCTGCTCCCGGGCTGCTCCCGGGCTGCTCCCGGGTTGCTCCCGGGTTGCTCCCGGGGCTCTCCCGGGGCTCTCCCGGGGCTCGGGGCGCTCGCTGCAGGTGCCGGAGCAGAGCGGCTGCTCGGGAGGCTGCGGCAGCCCCGCCGCGGCACGGACAGGTAGGGCCAGCTCCGTCCTGGGTGGGCTCCGGGATGTGGCCAAGGAAAGGCTGAGCAGGGCTGGTGCCAGCCCAGAGCTGCTCGGAGCAGGACGCTCGGCTGGAGACCCCCAAAAACCGCCTTTGAGCTGAGTCAGCACATATTTAGGAGCCTTTAATCTTTGCTTGCTGCTTCTTTGGCAATCTGGGGATCAGATACAAGACTCTGTCAGCTGAACAGCTTCTGGTGCTGACAGGGATGTGTTCACACCTTCAGGGGTCATTTTCTATCACCCCTCAGGGGGCTGGTGATGAATCAAACCGCGGGGCGAGGAAGGAGAAAACATGAAGCCCTCTGTTGCAATTTCCTGCGCCGGATTGCAGAGGAACAAACAGAACTGGGGCTCTCCCTGGTCAGACTGACACATCTGGCTTCACTGCCTGTAACTCTGCGTTTCTAGTCTCTCCAGGCGTTTCCTGGTCAGGCAGCCCAGGCAGGACAGCGCAGAGCCCCGGGAACTCCCTGCTGCGGGCAGGGTGGCACAGCCCGAGTCACGGCTCAGCGGCAGGAGGGTGCAGGAGGAATGAGGGCAGTGCCCTGGTCGGCTCAGGGTGGCTCTGCAGGGCTCAGCCTGCCCAAGCCATCCCTCCTCCAGTCTGGGCCAGAGCACTCCCCTCAGCTGCCATTCACCGTTTCTGCTCCATTTTTTAGGTTGTTCAGCATGAGTGTGGCTGTGCTCCTGCTCCTGGGGCTGGGGCTGCAGGTGGCAGAAGGCAGAAGGAACAGGTGTTTCTTCAACCGCACTCAGGAGTTCTGTGTGTGCTACAACCTGTCCGAGAAGACCATGGGCAGCATCATCCAGTGCCTCCCAGCAACTGTGGTGGAGTTTTGGGGCGGGGATCTGGAGAAATACGCAGCCTTCCCCATCAGGGACCCGGACTCCTCCGTCATTGAAACTTTGGGCTCCCTTATCATCCAGAAGATAGTTATTGGAAATGTCCTGGTGCCCGAGACACTCCTCGCCCGTGTGCTGAGGTTCTTCTCCTACACCCACGTGCAGGAGCTGGCCTTTGAGAGCTGCATTTTCCAGGGCACAGGCGACTGGAGTGACATGGATGGGCACAGCTTGCCCATCCTGTCCCTGAGCTTCCACAACGTGACGTGTGCCCCGCTGACGGGCCGTGAGCAGGCCTTCTCCAGCCTCAGCAGCTGGCTGGGGACCCTGCAGGAGCTGGCTGTCACCAGCTCCCGCCTCAGCAGCCTGCCCTGTGCCATCGGGAGGGAGCTCAGAGCCCTGCGCTCCCTGGACCTGGCACACAACAGCCTGGGGGACGGGAGCCTGGCCCCCGCCTTCTGCCAGGGAGCTTTCCCTCAGCTCCAGCAGCTGAGTCTGCAGCACAACGACCTGAGCTCCTACCACGGCGTGTGTGAGGGCGTGGAGCTGCTGCCGGGGCTCCGGCACCTCGATCTCAGCCACAACGAGCTCACGGCAGAGCCATCCTCCTCCTGCCAGTGGCCGCCATCCCTCCAGAACTTTAACCTGTCCAGCACCGGCTTGGATGAGGTGCCAACACCGCTGCCTCCCCACCTCGAGGTGCTGGACATGAGCCACAACCACCTCCACGCTGTAGACATCTCCCTCAGCTCCGTGAAGAAACTCTTCCTGAACCAAAACCTGCTGCAGGCCGTCCCCTCCATCAGGAATTACCCCGTGCTGGACACCCTTCACCTGGACAACAACTCCATTTCGGAGCTGCCCAGGGATGAGGTGAAGCTCCTGGGGCGCCTGCAGGACGTGGCTGTGGCTGACAACCCCTTCAGCTGCTCCTGCTCCGGGGCCGGGGGGCTGCAGGCGCTGGCGGCCTCGGGGCACCTGGGCCAGGGCTGGCCCGGGGGCTACAGGTGCCACTCGCCAGCACAGTACCGGGGCTGGCAGGTGGCACGGGTGCCCGTGTCGGTGCTGCGCTGCCACCTCGCCGCCGTGCTGGCCCCGCTCTGCGTGGCCCTCGCCCTGCTGGCCGTGGCTGGGGCCGTGTGTCTGGCCAGGAGCAGGTCCTGCCGCAGAGCCTGAGGGGCACCGGGACCACCGGGAAGGCTCCGAGCTCCCCGTCCTGGCGAGGGGCTCTGCTGTCCCAGCCTGGGCTCCCCGGTGGAGCTGGGCTGTCCACAGGGTTTTCCTGCAGTGCCTGTGCCCCGCTGTGCCCGGGCACCCTCACTTCCAGCCCCGTGCCAGGCTCTGACCACAGCCACCCCCTCCCCATGGCACGTCCCTGTGGCCAGCTCCAGCCACCCCAGCACACCCCGCTGTCCCTGCCATGTCACCTGCCCTGCACAGGAGGAGCTCAGCTCCCTCCCATTCCCACTGGCAGCACTCAGATGCCCCCCCAGCCTTGCTGGGCTCTGCTGGTCCCTGCCCAGAGCCCCCCACAGCTTTTAGCCCCACCAGTCCAGGCATCCTTGGAGCCTCCATGGCCCTGTGCTCATCCTCCCTCTCCTCACCCGGGGCTCTGGCTGGGCCAGGATGTCCGGTTTGGCAGGATGCTGCTTGGCTGCTCTTCAGCCTAAGAGAAAAACTGAAAAATCACAAAAGACGGGAAAATGACTAAATTAAACACCCTGCATACAAATGCTAATGAGCTGGAGCAGTTCCTTACACCTCAACCTGAGGCACTGGCAGATGGGGACCTTGAGAAAGTTCAACCAGAAACTTTTTAAGTGATAAGAAGAAAATTAGTTTGTTCTGGGTTATTCAGAGAATATCTCATAGTAAGGAGAAAATGGATTATGGGATGCAGGACTGGGGAATATTCAAAGGAAAGGGGTGGGTGGGGAAGGGACAGGCTTGGGAAAATGGGGATGGGAGGGAATCACAGAATCACAGGGAGTTTCAGTAGAAAGGTACCTTAAAGCTCATCTCATTCCACCCCCTGCCATGGGCAGGGACACCTTCCACTGTCCCAGGCTGCTCCAAGCCCTGTCCAGCCTGGCCTGGGACACTGCCAGGGATCCAGGGGCAGCCACAGCTGCTCTGGGTACCCTGTGCCAGGGCCTGCCACCCTCACAGAGAGGAATTTCTTCCCAACATCCCATCTATCCCTGCCTCTGGCAGTGGGAAGCCATTCCCTATGTCCTTATGAGAAGGGCCTGGTGGCAGGCAGTGCTCACCTGGCCAAGCCCTGCTCTTCCCCAGGGCCTGTCCTGCCTCTGCAGGAAAGTCTGTGCCTGGGTGTGCCCCGTGTCCCTCCCTGTCTCTGTTTGGGACAGGCACACACGAGCTGCAGGCAAGCACAGCCTGGGCTGCCTGGGCTGGGGGAAACAGAGTGGGAAGGGCCAAGGTGGAGCTGCAGAGCGGCTGAGCAGGCTCCAGGCTGGATCGGGAGGAATTCAGGGTCTGCTCAGGTCCAGCCCAGGTGGCTCTGGAGGGCAGCTGTGGCTCCAGGTGCTGGTAGAGGCTCTGCTGGCATTAACCAGGCTGCCCCTGCACCTTGGGAGTCCTGGCTGGACACGGAACAAGGAGCAGCAGCTGCTGCTGAGGGATGAGGAAGGAGAAATAAATCCCTGTCTCCTGAATCCCAGGCTTTGCTATGCCTTGGGAGCATCCACACGGGACCATCTGCCTGGTCAGGGCCAGGCCCTGCCACAGAGCAAGAGGCAAGTGTGTGACCCTTCCCAGCAGTGCTGCCCCACAGGGGCTCCCTGGGAAGGCTCACAGCCCCCCCAAGTGCTCTTGGAGTCCCCAGTCCGGGCTGCCCTGTGGAGCAGAGCTTTCCCCCAGCATTTTCCCACTGTGGCTTTGCCCAGCCATGTGCAGGGGAACCCCTCAAAGCCCCGTGCCCTGCTCTGTCCCAGGGCTGCACCCCCACAAGGGGTTTTTCTCCTGGCCACCTGCAGCTCCCCAAGCCCCAAGATGTCCCTGTTGTCCCTGCACTGTGGCCTGTCCTGCCCGCAGTGCTCCATCTGTGTCCAGCTGCCACAGCTCACTCCTGAGGGAGTTTTGGGGGGCTGGGGCATTGGTCTCACTCTGCACAGGGAACAGGAGGCAGAGGGACACGTGTGCTCCTCCTGGTCCTGTGCACAGCAGGGCAGGGCTGCCCTGGGCCCCCTCTCCACCATCTGCACCTCCACACGCAGTGGGCATCCTCATCACCAGCATTTCCCTCTGTGCTCTCCTGCTGTGCCTGATCTCCAGTGGTTCTGTGCTTTGTGGTCCCCTCTTGTGACACCCTGTACAGCAGCCCAAGGTCCCTCCTCTCCCAGCCAGGGCTGAGCTGTCCCTCTTGGGGCTGGGAGCACCCCAGTGGTGCGAGTGGCCCCGGGCACCACCTGGCCCCTGTGGCCCCGCTGATTCCTGGAGCAGGGCGCCTCCAGGCTGGCCGGGCTCTGCCCACACCATCAATAATGCAGGAGAACCGGATCCCCCAGGTAACCCCATCCCTGCCCTGGCTGAGCAGAAGCTCAGGGCGCTGCTGCCACACTGCCCATGGATGAGGTGAGTGCTGTGTTTGGGACAGCCCAGGTTGGCTTGCAGGGATCTGTCAGGGGCTGCCCAGCTCCCTGGGGTCTCCTCCAGCTCGGGCTGGTGCCGAGTGTGTGGCTCCTTGCCCCTCTGTCCCTGCAGGCTGAGCAGGACGTCAGCGTGCGAGCAGCTCTGGGAGTCCACCAGGCAGCAGGTAGAGCTCAGGGCAGCCCAGAGCCTTCCCCTCAACACCAGGGAGCAAGGGGACAGGCTGGCAGCCACAGCTGTGCTGGCACTGGGACCAGCTGGTCTGGGCAGTGCTGACAGGGACTGGGTGTCCGCCCCATCCTGGTGCCTCTGACTCCAGCGGGAGGGCTCGGGAATGAGGTGAACCCTGGGATGTGGCTCCAGGCTGCAGGGGGAGCAGGACAGGGCTGGGACAGGTGGGGGTGACCCCCCCACCATCCCACCCTCGGTGTTTGCAGGGCCAGGACAAAGCTGGGTGGATGGCAGCAAGGACCTCCTAGAGCTCCTCCTGGCTGGGAAGGAGCCCCAGGTGAGAACGGCAGGGCAGGGCCAGCCAGGGCACGAGGGTCCCTGGGGTGGGGGGGAGCAGGGCTCTGTGCCACCCCTGCCCCACCTGGGACACCCTGGTGGGAGCTGAGCTCTTGGGCTGACCCTGCCCTACACCCCCGTGGGCCCCTCCCTTGTAGGGGGCTCCTGGGGGTTCCCAGAGAGCAGGGGAAGGGAGGGGGTCTCTCCTCACCCCTGCCCGTGCCAGGCCCCCTGTGCCACCCCTGCCATCTCCATCCCAGTGTGCCCAGTCCCTCCTTTGCCCTGCCCTGGTCATGCTGGGATAGGGGAAAGCTGAACATTATCCCCCTCCTCTCAGCAGGAGAGCTCCCTCACAGTCGATGGCGTTTTCCACTTGGATGCAGGACAGGTACCCAGAGCCCCAAGCCCTCCTCTGTACCCTGTCCCCAACCACATGGGCCAGGGCCATCTGCACCATGGTGGCCATGCCATGCTGTGCCATGCTGTGCCATGCTCCATGCTGTGCCATGCTGGCCATGCCACACTGACCCTGCCCTGCTGGATATGTCTCTCCTACCAGGAGAAGGTCCTGGAGTTGGCAAGACCCCAGCTGGCCCTGGTTCCCCTTGGCTACAGCGTGTCCCTGCTGCTGTGGGACCCCCACGGCCCTGGGACACAGCTGCCCTTCCAGAATGTCATCTGGCAGGTGAGGGCACAGGGGACAGGCGGCAGGGAGAGGGGACAGCACAACTGGGCAGTGCTGAGCGCCCAGGTCACCCAGCAGACCCCGATGCCACCGGGGCAGGGCTCAGATCCAGCCATGGGTCCCGGGCACCAGCAGCTCCCAGCTTGTCCACAGGTGATTGACACCGTCTTCCAAGAACTGGAGGCCTTGAGGGATGACACAGAGAGCCTGCAGATGGTCAGCCTGGTCCAGGTAGGGCAGGAGCAGGGCAGGATGTCCTGGATGAGGGTCCCATTTCCTCTCTGCCACTGCCCAGACCCTGCTGTGCCAAGAGCAGATATTGATTGCCCTGTGCTGGCATGCACTCCCCTCATCCAGAGGGTGACCAGGGACTGGAGACCTTTGGATCCCAGGTGTTCTCACCTCTTTCTAGGACTGCCCCTTAGCTGTCCAGAGAGCACCTCCTGGGCTCCAGCAGCATAGTGGGATTGGGATCACGCACTAACCCCTTCCTGCTCCCATCACAGCTGGGCTTTCTGGGCCAGTCACTGCTCCCTGGGCCCTGAAGGTTCCTCCAGTGTGGCCTTGACTGGCCCAGGAGTGATGCCAGCTCCTGCCACTGGGCTGGGTCCTGCCCTTTGGCTCTGGGATACTGCCAAGGGATCTGATAAGTTCCACACAGGGCTTGGGCGTTCCCAGGGCTCTGCCCTCCCTGGTGCCAGGGCTGGAAAAGCTGGGAGTTTCCCAAAAATGAGCCTTTCTCAACCCTCACCTGTGCATGCCCACCAACAGTTTGGGCCCCTGGTGAGTGTGGGATGCCAGCAGCCCCCTTCTCCTGACCTCCTCCCAGGTCAGCACCCACGACAAAGCCTGGGACCTGCTCCGTCCCGATGGCCGAGCCCTGCAGGTGATGGACGTGGCACCCCTGGGCCTGTAGGTACCTGGTGCCCCATGGCTGAGCAGATTCTGGGGGCTGGTACCCCACCATCAGGAGTGGGGCTGGGCAGGGAGCACGGTGCCCACCCCAGCATGGCAGGGGGTGGGTGTGACCCTCCTCGCTTGGTCTTGTCTCCCTCTGCTTGCAGGATGGTGCAGGAGGCGGCAGAAGTGGCCGTGCGTGATGCCCAGGCTGCCATCAGTGCCTATGCCAGGGGGCTGGGTGCCATCCCGGCGCTGTTCCGGGGCTGTGCCCAGCAGCCCCTCGCAGACGGGCGCTCAGCTCTGCAGGGGTGAGGGATTTGGCCCAGACCCCACAGGCTGGGAAGGGCTGGGCCGTGGGGTGCTGGGCTGGCTCTGCTGCAGCCCCACTCCCACACCAGCCTCTCCCCAGGGCCGGCAGCCTCTTCACTCTCACCGTGGAGCGAGAGCTGCAGGCTGGCAGGCGCCAGCGCTCGGCCCTCAGGATCTTGGTGTCCCCAGGGGCCACCGGGCCCTGCCCCAGGCTGTACGTACGGGGCTGAGCTGTGTGTCCCCTCCAGCACTCCCTGTGCCTGCTGTGGGTCAGGGAATTCCACCCCTGGAGGTGAAGCAGGAAGGACGCCCCAGTGGGAGCCAAGGGGGTGTCACTGCTCCTTGGGGACATGGGCCTGGGGATGTGTGACAAGGAACCCATCCTTGGGCTCCTGTGGGTGGGGGTTCAGCCCGCCTGGCACGCCAAGAGCCAGTCCTCTCTCTCCCCACGTGCAGGGAGCGCAGGGAACCCGGAGCTGTCCGCCTGCCCTGGATAGTGGAGAGGCTGCTGGAGGGGAACAGCCTCACCTTCCTGCTGCTGTGTGTGTCGCTGCCAGGTAGCCCCTGGGACTGGGACACACTCTGGGTGTCCCTTCCCTGAGGATTCCCCCCATCCCACCCCACACCTGGCACTCGGTCCCTGGCTGCTGCCCGGGGACCCCAGCTCCACTCATCTCCATCACACCGGGACCCCCTGTGCTGGACCTCCATGGCCCCTGCCCAGGGCTCGCTGTTCTCCAGACACCTCCAGAGAGGAGATCCTGGGAGCTCTGGGACTGGCTGAGAGGGTGAAGGGGCTGGCCAAGACCATCTCTGCCACACTCTGGGACCCTGAGGAGGAGATGGCGGCGCGCCGGAGGGAGATGCGAGCGCTGCGGATGGAGCTGCTGGCTGGATCCGGCCACCCGGAGCAGAGGAGAGCTGTGGCCCAGCTGCAGAGAGCCCTGCGGGAGCTGCAGGTGGGGAATGCCCCTGGATCCACGGGACTGGCATGGCACTCATCCCCAGGGCTGGGTAAGGTGCAGGCTCTTGACCCATCCTGGTGTCAAGGCCCTTGTCCAGCACTGAGGGCAGGGCCTGAAGCTGCCCCAGGGGTGGAATGTGTCCTGGAGCCACGCCAGGCCTGGGGGTCTGAAACACCCCAACAAGGACCTCCAGTTCCCCTTTTCCAGGTGCTGAAGAGTCAAAGGTGGGAGAAAAAGCAGGCAGCGGCCAAGGTGCTTGGGACAACTGAGATGCACCAGCCGAGTGCTGAGGTGGGCAGAGATCAGACCGGGCCCCTTCATCCAGGGAAAATCTGGTGCAGGAAAAGCCCTCAATGTGTCCCTGTAACATCTTCTCTGCCAGGACCAGGTCTCTGCAGGGAATACAGCTCCACGCCAGCAGCCTGGGACCCAGACACCCCCGACCAGTGGCAGCCTGGAGCCAGCAGAGCCGGAGCGTGGGGCCAGGCACGCATCCAACTGGGTGCAGGGTATGTGGGCACAGAGCATGGCTTTACATGGTGGGAAAGCCCTCACTCTCCATCTGAACATCCTTCTTCAGCCCCCATGTCACACTCATCCTCCTCCCCTGTCCCCACACTGCAGGACGATGTGACAGCAAAAGCCAGGGAGGGGACAGCCGAGCTCTGGCCAGCTCAGGGCAGGGGCTGCTGGAGGAGCCATCCCAGAGCAAAGTGTCACAGACATGGCCCGGGTGTGACAGCGTGAGTGGGAGCCTGCAGGGTCCCTGTGCAGGGCCAGCTCTGCTGCCAGCACTGGCTCCTGGTGCCACCCGAGCCCGCTCCGCTCTCCTCCAGGCAGGGAGCCGGTGCCAGCCATGCCCACCCCCGGAGGTCCAGCGTGCCCTGGCCAGGGCCCAGCGGCAGCGGCTGCGGGCTCGGCACTGCCGGCAGCTCCAGCGAGAGCTCGGGGCCAGCACTGTGCCAGCCCAGGAGCACAGCGGGGAGGTGAGCACAGGCAGAGCCCAGCACTGCGAGCTCCAGCCTCTCCTCCCCTGGCACTGCTCTCCCTAGTGCAGCCCAAGGGAGCAGGGACACCCTGGAGCTGCCCTGACCTTGCTCCTGTCCCCCACAGTGGGACACAGAGCGCTGGCAGCGGGAGGTGACCGCGCTGGGCCTGAGCCTGGAGGCAGCGCTGCGGGAGCGGGAGGCGGCCGAGTGGGACCTGGAGGCCCTGCTGCACAACCACCGCCAGGAGATGCAGGCCTGCAGACAGCACCTGCTGCAGGTGGGCAGGCAGGGCTGGGGACACCTCTCCAGCTGTGCCAGGGCTGTGCCAGGGCTGTGCCAGACCGCCCGGGCATCCCGCAGGTGCTCCAGGACCAGCAGCGCCTGGCAGAGGAGCAGCGGGCGGGCCCGGAGCGCCGGGACGCTGCGGGGCACGCCCGGCACAGCCAGCACCTGCGGGACACCCGGCCGGCAGGCACGGCCCATGCCACCACACAGACCCCTTGAGCCACGCCCGGGTGTGGGGACAGCTGGCCTGGCAGGACTGGGTCCCTGCACCGAGCCACCAGCGATGCCAGGAGACTGGCCAGCCCCACCACACGAGTTACCCCAGGCTGCTGCTCCTGAGGGAAAGCGCTGCTCTGTGCTGGAACCTGCCCATGGGAGCACAGGTGGGAGGGCTGGCAGCCCCCAGCTGCAGCACAGAATAAAGTGGGTGCCCCTCAGCCATGTGTTGTCAGGCTCAGTTACACCCCTGGCCCCAAATGTGTCCCCAAGGGGCACAGCCACCATCCCTCAGGGCAGGCAGACACAGGACAGACACACGAATATTGTGGAACTGCAGCTTTAATACCCCAGGTGGCCTCTGCCTGCCAGAAACTTGGTACAAATTTGGGGAGCATTCCCTTTTTGGGGAGCAGGTGGAAGTTCCCACAAGCCCCAGTCCCTGGCTGCTCTGCAGAAACACTGGCCCAGGAAGGGGAAACGGGGCCTGAGGACAGCAGGGCTCCAGGCAGGGCCTAGGCTGCAAATCCATGAAGATGGGAGAGGCCCAGGGAAGCAGCACCAGGAATAGCAGGGACCAAGCAGCATCCATGGGAGCTGAAACAGCACCAGGCCCATGCTGGGCTGGCAGGAGGTACAGCAGAGCCAATACTGCCAGAGCATTCCCAGGCCACTGTGGTGTGGGGAAGCAGCTTGAGGACAAGAATCATTTAGGTGGGAAAAGACCTCTGAGATCAAGTCAAACCTGTAACCCAACCCCTGTCAACCAGACCACGGCATTAAGTGCCATGTGCAGTCCTTAAACACCTCCAGGGATGGTGACTGCACCACCTCCCTGGGCAGCCCCTTCCAATGTTTAATCACCCCTTCTGTGAAGAAATCACTCCTATGGTCCAACCTGAACCTCCCCTGGCACATCTTCAGACTATGAGGCATACACAGGGGTTCAGGAACCTGCTAAGGCTGGGCATGCCTGATCCCATGGGAACCCCATGGCACAGAGCCTGGCTGGACTGGAGCTGGGCAGTTTCCCTGTGGAAGCAGGGACAGGGTGCTCTCCCCATCAGCACTGCTCCCCGGGGATCCCTGGAGTTGTGCAGGCACCCACCAGGACCGATTCCAGCCCTGAGGAAGGGCTGGGGCTGCCCAGACGTGTGGGAGGAAGGCAGTGACTACGTGACTCCATAGTACAGGTGCACAGCCAGGCCAATGCACGCCACGGCCATGAAGAAGAGGAGGGTGAGCTGCAAGTTGAAGAGGGCAACAGAGAGGAGAGCGTTGACCAGGATGGAGCAGGAGATGACGAAGAGCCTGGTGATGTTGGTGCTGTGCTTCATCACCACGGACATGATGAGGCCATTCAGAGCCTGGCTGAGCACGATCAGCAGCACCCACGGGGAGAAGCCCTCCAGGAACCCGCCCTCCGTGCCGCTCCACAGATAGCCCAGCAGGTTGAGCAGGACCCCAAAAAAGTACAGGAAGATGTTCTGGAGGCTGAGGGGCAGCGCCTGGCTTTTCAGGATGGCTTCGGTGTAGACAGCAGAGAGGCCAGAGATGAGGCAGTAGATGGAGAGCAGCAGCAGCCCCACGGGGGTGAGGTGCAGGCGCGTCCCCGCGGGGTCCCGGGGCCCCCGCAGCCCCCCGCAGCTGTAGGCCAGCCCAGCGGCCAGCAGCAGCAGCAGGGCCAGCCAGCGGCGCGCGCCCAGCCGCCGCCGCAGCAGCAGGCTGTAGAGCAGCGCCGTGCTGACGATCTTCAGGTTGCTGAGCACCTGGAAGGTGCTGGGGTCCATGAAGAGCTGCATGTGCACCACCAGGTTGTTGTTGGCAGCGTAGAGCAGGGCCGAGAGGGCGAAGGGCGCGGCGTGACGCCAGGACGGCGCCGCTGCCCGCGGCTCCGCCAGCAGCAGCAGCAGGGACAGCGCCAGCTTGGTCAGCTCCACCAGGACCACCACGGACGTGGAGCTGAAGGGGATGGCCCCGTCCACCTTGCAGAGGGTCAGGAGGGGGGCGTGTGAGCCGTAGATGGCCACGGACAGCAGCAGCATCAGTGCCCACAGCCCCCTGTGAAGCAGGCTGTTGGCAGAGCCAGCGGCATTCCCAAACATCCCCATTTCCAGGTGAGAGCCAACACGAGTGAGCTGCTGCCAGCGCCGAGAGGCCACACAGACTCTCACCCTGCGACACGGAAGAGACCAAATACCAAGAATTTAATGAGCCTGATTCAAGCAGGATGTTCCCTGCGACATTTGTGATGCAGCAGGAGAGCAGGGTGCCGTCTCTCGTTAGGATGAGAACTACAAGCCTTCCTGAGAAGCCACGCAAAGCACATTGCCAGGGCACACCGTGGGCTGGTGGCAGGGCACGCAGGTGACCGGGCACAGCAGCCCCTCAGTCCACAGGGGCACAGGCAAAGGTAAGGGGAAAAGGCAGCTGGCAGCCCCTCAGTGCTCTCGAGCCGCTGTGGGTTAGTGCCGTGACCACTGCTGCCACGATGCCCAACCAACACCCATCACCAGCCCCCTGACGTGTGGCAGTGGCGTGGTGCAAAGACCTTTTCCAGGGAAAAGAAGGGTGCAGGTTATGTGCCTCCTAGAGCCTTAGGGGTGCTCTGTGCCTGCTACCTAAGGAGCACCGTTCCTGCAGTCCCTACTGCCTCCGGGCTCCTCCTCGCTAGTCCCGACCTTTTTTCAGTGAATTCACATAGTCCCGAATCGTCTTCTCAACGTTGGGCACGGCGTAGTTCTGGGCAGCGTAAATCCCGGTGCAGGTGCCGGCCACGAAGCCCAGGACGGCGGAGAAGCGGAGCTTGGCCAGCAGGTATCCCGCCAGGAAGCCTTTGAGCAAGGGCGATGCCAGCAGCGATCCGTCCTGAGGGGAGAGCACACTGAGGCACGGCCGGGACCGGGGAGGGGCGGCACAGCCCGCGGCCCAGGGATGAGTCGTGCTGTGTTTTCCCCTGGGATTTGTTCTTTCCCCCACCAGTCCCTCTCAGAGGGCGCGGCCGGTCCGCCCTAAACCCGCTCGTTACCTGCCCCACGCCGGCCTGCACCTCGTCCTCCACCCTGCGCTGCAGGCTCTCCAGCTGCCCCTTCAGGAAGGCGAGGTCCTTCAGCTTAGGCAGCGAGTCCTGCGGGAGACACGGAGGTGATTCCCGCCCCCGTCCCGCGGCAGGAGCCGGCGCCGCCGCCCCGCGGCCCCGCGGCGCCTCAGCCCCGCGCTCCCCGCTCACCTTATCGTCCGCCATCTTGGCGCCGCCGCCGCCCGCCGCTCATTGGCTGCCGGGGAGCCACGTGACACCTCCGCCGCCGAGCCGCCGCTGATTGGTTGCCACGGGAGCAGCGACTCCTCCCGCGCGCCCCTTCCCGCCACGGAGGCGGTGCCCGGCGCTGATTGGCCGGGGCGGGGTCACGTGGCGGCTGTTGCTCCCTCACGCCGCGCGGCCGGCGCCATCTTGGGGCGGTGTTGCCCTTGAGGGCGGCCGGGCCTGAGCGGGGCAGCGGCACCCCAGGGGCTGCTCCGGCCGGGCTGGCGCGGCTCACGGCCGCCCCCCAGCCCGGCCAGGCCGCCAGGACCTCCAGCACCCAGCCACCGTGTCGCCCCTGGGGGCAGCATGCATGGGGGTCCCGAGCTCCACAGCCTCCCTGGGCTCCTCCTCCCTGAGGGGTCTGGTCCAGTCCAGGCTTGGCCGGTGGTTTATGTCTAAAGCCGTGCAATTGAGCCTTTGCACGACTTTGTCCCTCAGGATTAAGGATAGCAGCCAAAAAATACTTCTGTGAATAAAATATTTAAATTTGTGATTGTAAGGATTAAGTTAAAAGATCTTACTCAAAATTCTTTACCACACAGTGTAGGTAGCTCTAGCTGCAATATTTTTTGTGAAAAACGCCAATCACTTGGTTTTTAAAATTTTAAAAGTTTAATAATAATAAAATGGTTATAAAAATAATAATACAATTAGAGTAATAAAGTTTAGACAATTGCAAAACAATAAAAAGCAAAGAATTACGGACGTCCAGATGCTCTGGGACACTTAAGTTGCTAAAAGCCTCCCTTGTGAACAAAGCAATAACCTTAAAAGCAATAGCCTCTTGTATATATACACAATGCATAAATTCCTTGCAAATTAAGAACTTTACTGGTTTTTGTCAACTTCTCCTTAATCCTGTTGGTTCCACAAAGATGGAGAGAAGGTGGAAGAATGTTTGTCTTTTCTGATAAGGAGGTGTAACTTTTTATGGGCCCCCTTCTCTGACATCTCTATGTGAAGTTTCTTGATTTTCTCATCTTCCTGCTTGAGCTTGTAACAAATCCTGTATCACAGAGTTTCTATTTTAACATTATGTTGTAACCTAAAACTACATTTAACACACTACGTAAGAGAATTAATACAGCATAGCTTTCTAACATTACACACCTGATATTCATTGTAACATCTGCCAAAAGCCAATCATAAAATATGCATTTTTCATGTCTAAAGCCTTTGTACGACTTTGTCCTTCAGGATTATGGATGGCAAAAAAATACTTCTATAAATAAAATATTTAAATTTATGATTGTAAGGATTACGCTAAAAGACCTTCAGAATTCTTTACCACAGTGTAGGTAGCTCTAGCTGCTAGAGCAGTGCAATATTTTTGAAGCAATATTGACAGTAAATAATATTAAAGGTAATAAAGTTATTACTAAACAGACTTTGATGCTTTTCCCCCCGTCTCAGTGCCTGGGGTAAATCTCAGCCTGAGGAGTCCCTCTGATGGGCGCTGCGCTGCTCAGCTCCAGGGAGGAATTTCCATATATGCTCCTAGAAATAACAGAGTAAGGAAAGAACAAAATTGACTTTGGAGTTCTTTTCCAACCTAAATGATTCTGTGGTTGTGAAAACCGCCAATCACTTACTTTAAAATTTTAAAACTTTCATAGTAATAAAATAGTTATAAAAATAGTAATAAAAATTAGAGCAATAAGAATTTGGACAATCGGAGTTAATAAAAAGCAAAGAATTACGAATGTCTGGATGCTTTCCTTGCTAACAAAGAATTAACCCTCAAAAGCAATAGCCTGTTGCATATTCATATATATCATACATGATGCAAATACTCCTTTCGAACTGGGAATTTTTCTGCTTTTTGTCAGCTTGTCCCCTCATCTTATAAATCAATACTTTTGGCTCCAGGGTGTCTGGAAGAAGTCTGTATGGTCCGATAAAGAGGCAATAAATCTTGTCTTGAGATTTTTGGGTGTCTTGTTGCTGTTATCTCTACGTGAAGAATTTCTCAGTTATTTTATCCATTCCCTGTGCCAGTCACAAAAAGGTATCTTACATCACATAGCTTCTATTTTAATGTTATGCTATAGCCTAAAGATGTATTTAACACACTACTTAAAAAGGATTAATACAGTACTACAAAATAACTTTCCAACACATGCAGTATTTGTTATAAATGAATCAGCCAATTTAAGAATACAAGGAATTTATTGAATTAAATCAAAGTAAAATTGGAAAAGGCACAAGCAAATCAGCAGCGAGCCAGGAGGTCGGTGCTGGGTGAACTGGGTCTGGACTATGCAGCACCAAACCCTGGCAGTTCACGGGGTACTGATTTCACAATTTTATATACTATTTTTAAACTGTTTCCAGACTTACCGGGATTCTGGGGGGACCTCCTGTTTCCTTTTGTCCTTTTTCACACATTCATGCATGTTCTTTTCTTGTGGTGCTTCTAAACTGAGGTTTTCTCGGAATACTCTGCTGAAATCCTGTAATCCCCTCAGATATCTTGTTCTGGCAACAAATATTCATTTTATCGTTCAAGGCGTATCTTCTAGACAGAATAATCCTTGAGCATAACCGTCTTTTGAGACAGGAATTCATCCTGTCTATAGTGCTCTTTCCCATCACTTGGTTCCATTAAAAAGGATACTGTATTTTTTAGTCCTGAGCACCAATTTACTCTAAATCATATATTACGCGTTCAATTTAATATTTGCCAAGAGCCAATCATTTAATATGCATTTTTCACAGTGATCATCCAATCCAACCATCAGTGCAGCCCTGCCAGGCCAAAAAATCATTAACAAGCTGCCAGCTCCCACGAGCCACGCCCAGACATTTTGGAACCTTCAGGGACGGTGACTCCGGCACTGCCTGTCACGGTGCTTGCCTGTGGGAACCCAGGACTGTCTCCAGACCCTGGCAGGGGCTCAGGGACCTTGGCACGAAGTCAAAAACACCTGTGGCTTCCATTTTAGCCCTTGGAAAAAACTGCCACCTTTGTATGAGGAATTACAAACCACAGGGGTTTGAGTAGTGTGGTAGGTGAATTAACACAGGGTGGAAAAGTAGAATTTTGGGGTTTTTAGAATGGGGTTCAAGGGGACAAGGTGGAGGGATTTGGACATGTCCTGACCTTCTTCTCCTTCTTCTCGTCCTTCATGTCTTGCTGTGATGGTGACACTTTTAGATTGGTTTAAGGCAGAGACACACTGTCCAACGTAAATGACAGATATTGGCACGTTACTGTAAACAAAGCACAAGTAGTTTTTGGTATAAAATGTGAACACTGCCCTGAGGGCAGACAGAATGCCATGGCTGACTTTCTGGACAGAGCTCAGCAGGTCAGAGAAAGAATGTAATAGGTAAAAGAAAATAAACAACACTGAGAAGCCAACCCTAGCATTCAGAATCCTTCTTTGCCTGCACAAGCCAGGAAAAAAAGCTTTTTACATTCTCGGGGTCACCGTGATCTGCAGCCCCCGAGACCTGCCCACCCTTTCAGTGAAGAACTGGATATCCAGTTCCTGGCACAACCAGAGCCCCACAGAGCCGTGCTGACACAGCCGCTGAACCCCGACTGCAGCACTTCCAGCTGGGAAAACAGGCGCTGCAGAACTGCGGGCACAGCCGAGGAGCTGTGGGGAATGATGGTTCCAGGGGCTTGGCACAATTTAATTAAAACCTGTGGTGCTGGGGGTTATGTGTGTGCTGCTCTCGTGGGTGCTACAGAGGCAGCTCCGTGAAGCCTTCTGGGCTGTCAGGCTGCTGCTCTCCGAGTTAATTTAATGCATTCCCAGTGTATATCACACTGCTCCCACTGAGCACTGGGAAGAGGAAAGGAAAGGGACTCGGGAGGCAGTGGCAGGTGCAGCCCAAAGAAGAAGCATTAATATTGCTATTAATATTAATAGCCAGTTGAAGTCCAACCAAGGCTGAGCTGCTGTTTCCTTGCTTTGCAGGATTCCAGACTTTTTATCCAAAGGCAGGTGTGGATTTAGTGAATCTGACATTTTCCTCAGCCACCTCAAACCAGCCACTTTTCAAGCAGGATTTTTACTTCATGAAAGGAAAATTAAATTAAATTAAATTAAATTAAAATAAAATAAAATAAAATAAAATAAAATAAAATAAAATAAAATAAAATAAAATAAAATAAAATAAAATAAAATAAAATAAAGCTGTGTGAGTGAGTGCAAGGGCCTTTCTTGGAATACAGTCACAACACTTGAAAAGTGCCACTTAGTGCAAGGCTGACTTGGAAAATTTGGATGTTTGTAAAAAAACATGTGAGGGCAGCAGAACCCTGTGATCAGTCACTGCTGTCACCTGCAGAGAGGTGAGCCCATTGCCAGCCTCACCAACTGCAGGACAACATGGCAGAGAGAAGGTTTATATTGGCTGCTGGGAAGGATTTCTTCTCTGGGAGGGTGGGCAGGCCCTGGCACAGGGTGCCCAGAGAAGTTGTGGCTGCCCCTGGATCCCTGGCAGTGCCCAAGGCTGGGTTGGACAGGGCTTGGAGCAGCCTGGGATGGTGGAAGGTGTCCCTGCCCATGGCAGGGGGTGGGATGAGATGATCTTTGAGGTCCCTTCCATTGAAGATCAGTGTTTGCAGGTCACGGTAGAAGCTGAGCACCTGCCCTCAGAGGGTCTGTGAGGGAGCTCAGCTCTCAGCCCCCAGAGCTTGCACACCGAGGCTCTGTGCTGTGTGGGGCAGCACGGATGGGTCACTGCTGGTGGGTCCTGGAATTTCTGGTGGGAGAACAGCTGGGATGTGAGGGAGGGCTGGGAGAAGCCCTGTCCTTGCTGCATCTAAGCTGAGCCAGGCCCCAGCCGTGGCTGGAGGGAGGATGCAGCCATTCTGTGCCTTGCTCAGCAGGATCCTGGCTGTGAACCTCCCTCCCTGCTGCACCTGGCACCTGCTGGATTGTGGTGGCCCCTGGACCCGCTCAGCTCCTCTGGCTGAGGTGTGGTGGTGCCATTGCTGCTCCCATGGACCAGGATGGGTCTGCCCCTAAGCCGAGAGTCCTGAGTCTGAGCTGCTGTGGGATGCTGTGATTAGCACTAAAACTGAGCTATTTGTGCTGTTGGGAGAGCTCAAGGGGAAATTGGTTATCCTGTGTTTGCCAGCTTAGCAGCAAGCTGCCACTTCTGAGGTTTGATTTTCCTGCCTCTGATCCAGCCCTGCCTCCAGCTCCCGCTGCCAGCAAAGGCTTTCACCTTGGCCCTGGCTGTGCCCTTGAGCAGTGGCAGGAGCTGAGCCCTTGGCTGGCAGCACGGCTGCTGCTGGAACAAGGCTGTGCTGTCAGATTTCCTCTGGGCTTGTGCCTGTCTTTCAACCTGTCCCTTCTAATATGGCCTGAGCTTATCAGCATCTCCAGCCCAGCCTGGCTGCAGTGATGGGTGAGATAAGAAGCTTCCACGTGAGGAGGAGCGGGGCATCGAGGAGGACAGAGCTGTGCCCCACAAGGATGGGTTTGCAGGTGTGAACCCTCGGGGGCTGCAGTGCCTTTGCTGCTCTCACAGCTGCTGTTGCTGAGCTCAGCCCTGATGCATTTCTCTTGCATCTCTGCAGGTGCCCACAGCTTTTGCTCCGTGCCCTTGGGAACACTGCTCAGCTGTCCTGCCCACCCCCAGGGCCAGACCTCCACTGCCCTCAGGGTGTCCCCTACCAGGTCCCTCACCTGCTGTCTCCCCTCTCCCGTCAGGCCAGCAGCAGGCATTTGGCACATCCTGGAGGCCTCAGCATGCAAACCAGCTGCCTCTTTGCAGTGGCCTTTGCTGTCCCAGCCCTCCCTCCACAGCCCTTTCATCTGTCGTTTGTGCAATTTTTGCACAGATGCAGTGCCCAGAGATTAGGCTGCAGATTAAGGTTTTACTGTATCCTGAAATGGGTTCCAATTCCCAGACCCAGCAGGACCAACATGCAGCCAAATTTCTCCTGAAAGCTGACTGGGCTGGAGCTGGGGAGAGAACTCCCACCATGTTCTCCCATGTGCATGAAAGGTGGAATCCTACATATATAGCCCAGGTGAGGCACCTGGAATTCTGTGTCCAGTTCTGGGTCCCTCTTGACAAGAATGACATTGTGGGGCTGGAGCATATCCAGAGAAGGGAATGGAGCCAGGGAAAGGTCTGGAGCACAAGATGAGGAGTAGCTGAGGGAGCTGAGTGGGGGCTCAGCCTGGAGAAAAGGAGGTTCAGGTGGCACCATCTCCCTCTCTACAACTCCTTAACAGCCAGGTGGGGCTCTGCTCCCAGAGAACAAGGCACAGAACCAGAGGAAAAGGCTTCAGTCTGCCCCAGGGTAGGTTCAGGAAGAATTTATTCACTGAAAGTGTTGAGTGGGCTGTGCAGGACAGTCACTGTCCCCTGGAAATACTAAAAAACACATGGATGTGGCACCTGGGGACACAGATTAGTGGTGGCCTTGGCAGTGCTGGGTTAATGGTTGGACTCAGTGACCTTAGAGGGCCTTTCCAGCCTGAGCGATTCCAAGGTTCTGTGATTCTAAAAGGAGCTGGGCAGCCCAGGGCAGGAGCAAGGCTGTTGTCTCAGCTCCAGCCTGTGCCTGCCCAGCCTCTCCCCATCCTGGAAGAGCCTGCTCTGCCACCAACATTTTGGTCAGGCTGGAGGCTCCCCTGGAAGTCCTGCACAGGCTCCCTGTGCCTGCAGAACTGCCCCATGAGTGGGCTGGGTGTGTTTGTCCCAGCACACACAGGCACACTTGTGGCTGGCATTTCCAAAGCCCCATCCAACACCACAGCATATCACAGAATCATGGAATATCCTGGGCTGGAAGGGACCCACAAGGGTCATCCAGGCCAGCTCCTGGTCCTGCAAAGATACCCCACAATCCCACCCCATCCCTGAGAGCATCATCCAAGTGCTCCTGGAGTTCTGGCAGCCTTAGAGCCACGACCATTCCCTGTTCAGTGCCCAACCACCCTCTGAGGGACAAACCTTTTCCTCTGCCACATGGGGCAGACTGTACATTGTGCCCAAAATTTCGGATAATGCAACTTGTCCAGAAGAGGAAAGTGTTTTATATGCCAAAAAAACAGATAAAAAACCCCAATACACCCACAGGAGAACATCAGAGCTGCACATAACAAAGAAAATGGGAAGCGTGTCACAGGGCTGTGGGCTGAGTCAGCTGCTCGGGGCTGCACGGGAGGTTTGGGGGGAGCTGGGGGTGCAGCCATGGCTGGCACTGCTCCAAGAGGCCGGGCTGGGCAAGGGTGACCGAGGGGCAGCAAGGGGTGTGTCAGAAGCCGTCGGTGCGCAGGGGCTGCGGCAGGTCTGACACGCTGATCTGCAGGTTGAGCTCTGCCGAGTCCAGGGCTGTGGACGGGGTGTGCGGGTGGCTCCGCTCCAGCACGGCGATCTCCTCCAGGTGCTCCTGCCGCAGGTGCCACAGGATCTCCCTGGACAAAAAGTGGGGCTCTGCTTCTTCTGGCTCTGGAACAGAAGAAAACAAACCTTCCTTCACTCGTTGTCCTGAGGCAGAGCTCCGGGCAGAACTCTGTGAGATGCCCCAAAACATGCACTGTTTCCTTCACAGTCAAAATACAGCTTTCATTTCCCACTTTCAGCATGGCAGAGGGGAAAAGTTCAAACACAAAGTGCAGAATCCAACACTATGTGCTGGATTCCAGTAATGCTTGTGATAGGAGCTGCCTCGCTGGATGGAAATGCTTCTCCCCATCAGCGACAGTGCTGAGTTTCCTCTGAAGAAACCGACATTCATTAAAGCAAGATGCTGATTTCATCTGCTGGAGGTGAGGAGATGGGAGGTGAAAAGATGATGGGAATGAGGGAAAGCCTCGCTCCCTCCCATCCCCTGTCAGCAGGAATGGCACAGAGCCAGCACACACTCCTCCCGCTGCTGGGGAAGGCGTGACAGCCCCAGCAATTTCTTCCAGGAACATCAACAGGGAGGGGAGCAGCTGCCTGCCCTGGATGCCTGCTGTTAATGCTTGCGGTAGGCAGCTTGTCTCAGGTCCCCCTGGCACTTCAGCTGGGACAACAAGTGCTGCCACCACCTCCCCTGCTCCTCAGACCCACACCAAGAAGTCCTTAGAATTATGGAATCATGGAATACCCTGGATTGGAAGAGATCCACAAGGATCATCCACTCCAGCTCCTGGCCCTGCACAGACACCACCAGAGCTTTGTCCAAACACTCCTGGAGCTCTGGCAGCCCTGGGGCTGGGACCATTCCCTGGGGAGCCTGGGCAGTGCCCGATCCCCTCTGGGGGAAGAACCTTTTCCTGCTATCCAGACTAAATTCCCCTGGCACAGCTCAGCTGTTCCTTCGGGTCCTGTCCCTGGTCCCAGGGAGAAGAGATCAGAGCTGCCCTGTGGATTTCTCTCTCGGGGTTCCTGAGGGTCAGGGTGACCCCAAAAAAAAACCGAAAAAGACTCTGCTTCCCTGGCCAGAACGCAGCCAAATGAGAGTCTTGGAATGCTTCTGATTGTGCTCTTTAAGTTTGTTTATTTCTTCTTATCTATAATATTTTCTCTCTGACCTGCCAAGGTCTGGCTAGCAAGGAGGCCATAGCATTCTGCATGCCCTCTCGGGCAGTGTTTACCTTTTATATCAAAAATTATGTATACTATGTTTACAATTTATTACCAATACCTAACATTTATGTTGGACAGTGTGTCCGTATCTTAAACCAACAGAAAAGTGTCACCATCACAGCAAGACATGGAGGACAAGAAGGAGAAAAAGGCTAAGACACGCCCAGATTCCTCCATCTTGTACCCCTGAATTACATTCTGAAAAACCCCAAAATTCTACTTTTCCACCCTGTGTCAATTCACCTATTACACTACTCAAACCCTTGTCACTTGTAATTCCTCATCCAGAGTTGGCAGCTTTTCACAGGCTAAAAGTGAAGCTACAGATGTTTTTGACTTCTTGCCAGGGTCTCTGAGACCCCTGCCAGGGTAGCCAGGGCAGCCAGAGGGATGTGCTGGACCCCGACACTGCTCCTCAGGAGGAGCTGCAGCCCCTGGGGAGCTCGGACCTCAGTCTCCTCTGCTCCAGCTGGACAGGCCAAGTGCCCTCAGCTGCTCCTCACGTGGCCCCTCTGGGCCCTTCACCATCCCCATGTCCCTCTTTTGGACAGTCCCTAACAGCTTTAGATCTTTCTCATCTTGTGGTGCCCAAACCTGCCCCAGGGCTCGAGGTGAGGCCGCCCCAGCTCAAAGCAGAGTGGGACGATGCCCTCCCTCACCCAGCCAGTGATGCCAGGCTCAGTGACATTCCTATTTCATGTAGGAACGCAGCCCCTCCCTTCCTCCCACGGCAGCAGGGGCCACCATGGTCCCCTGGCTGGGGCCACCAGCCGAGCCCTGCAGGGACGCTGGCCCAGGTCACTCGGGGCCAGCAGAGCGCAGCCGCTGTCCTGGGCAGCCCAGCCCTCCCCCTCACTCACCCTCGTAGGCAATGAGCCTGTAGGCATCTGCACACTCCTTGGAGCCTCTCAGGATCTCCTCCAAGGCCCTGTAGAAAAGCTTGGCCTGCTCCAGGCGCTCCTCCCGGCTGAAGGCAGCACAGTCCTCCTGGGACATGGCGAAGAGGGTCTGCAGCGGGGTGGCATATTCCACAGCACAGTGCCAGAGCTGCAGGGGTGGAAGGACAAGAGATGGGCACAGGAGGGCTGGGCAAAGGGCTGCTGGCAGACCCTGGCACTGGGCACAGCACTCAGGACCTCTCAGCTCCTTGGCCTGCCTGGCACTGGGAACACTGGGACAGGGATACTGGGTCTGGTCCTAGTGTCCCTCTGCCTCGTGCATAGCAGGAAAGGGCAGCTGGCCTGACAGCTCCAGGTGTCCCCTCTGCCAGGTGGGCTCAGGGAGCTGCCTGTGCCCATGGGGGGCAGCCACTGGCTTTGTCAGTGCTCCCAAGAGCAGCCTGGAGGGTGATCTTCCCATGGAATTTGGTCCCGTAGGGAGACATCACTTCCCTGTGATCACAACTTCTTAGTGGCTTTCCACTATACAAAGTGAGGTGGAGGGACAGCACCAATATTTGCTTTCTGTCACCAGAGACAGGACCCAGGAAACGGCTGGAGCTGTGTCAGGGCAGGGTTAGGCTGGACATCAGGAAAAGGTTCTTCCCCCAGAGGGTAGAAGAGGCACTGAACAAGGAATGGTCACAGCCCCAAGGCTGCCAGAGCTGCAGGAGCTCTTGGACAATGCTCTCAGGCACAGGCTGGGATTGTTGGAGTGTCTGTGCAGAGCCAGGGATTGGATTTGATAATCTTTGTGGGTCCCTTCCAACCCAGCATATTTTGTGATTCTATTATTCTAAGTCTGAGCATCCTAACAGAGAGCTGGAGGGCAGAGCACAAACACTGGAAAGACAGAGGCACAGCTGGAAGGAGGCTGAGCAAAGAAACAAGGAGAAATCTGATAAAGCCACAAACACGCCAAGGAGGAGCTGTATTACCAGTAAGTCTTACTGGGTAAACTGGAAAGTTGAATGGAGTGAATTAGAAGGAAGAGGGATGTGATCCCAGGTAAATGCAGAGAAGGAGGAGGCTCCCAGCCTCAGCAGGCAGTTACTGCCGTGCCCTGGGGCAGGTGCTTCCACGGGCCCTGCTCACTGGGAGGGACTGGGCAGGAAGCTGAGGGGCAAACATTACTGGAAGGCCAAGTCCAGGCCCAGAGCTGCTGGAGCATCCAGGGAGCAGAGTGACTCAGCAGGAGGCTGGCAGAAGGAACACAGAGCAGTGCGTGCAGCACAGCAGGAAAAACCCACAGCTTCCCCCGAGCAGGGCAGGAGAGGCTCGGGGTCCCTGCAGCTGGGCTTTAAAAACTGCAGCTCAGAGCTCAGCCTCTGCCAAAGGGCAAACCAGGGCACCCAGAGCTCTGCCCATGTCTCCATGCACAGCACCAGGGTGTTCCCTCCTCCAAGGGAAAGGGACAGGGACCAGTCTGCTCAGAGATGTGAGAGGAGATGAATGCAATGTGAGATGGAGAGATTTAGGGCTCACCAGCCTAGAAAAGGGGTGAATGGGGGAAAGGAGGGAGTCAAATAATGACTCTCATCTTCAAGCACCTCTTCACAACACAAGGAAACATTCATCCTGTGGGAAGTGATGCTCTGTAGCCCACATCTGCTTTTTTCTGCTCTGTTTTCTACTGTTTTCTGGACTTCAGTCAGCTCCAGGAGGGGTTAAGCAAGCCCACCATCCCTGCAGCTGAGCCTGGGAGCCAGCAGGAAAAGGTACAGGAATAGGATCTCTTCATCTCATGGAAGCCTGGTGAAAGCTGGGAGTATCTAACAGGAGAGATGGCAGTCTCCTGTCCTTATGGCCACTTCTGGGGCCAGCAAGGCTTTTGGGATGATGCTCCCAATGCTGCTCTCAGCATACCTGGTTTTCTTCATCTGTGATTGCATAGAGGCTGTGTTTGTAGACCCTCTTTTTGATGCCTGCTCGGGCCAGGATGGTTTCAGTGAGCTCTGTCACATACTGGATATTGCTGTCAGCTTTCTCTAGGTCATCATAGATCTCACAGCTCAGAGGGAACAAGATGTGGAGCTTCCAGGTCTTCCTGCACGCTGGCAGGTTGGGATTGGCTCTGCTGAATTCCTCCATGGACTTTTTCAACCCTGGTGGAAGAGAGCATCAGGCAGAGGTGCCTGATGTGAGTACAGCTGCATTCTGCCTTGCTCCTCATTTCCCTGCTAACACTGTAAAAGTGGGAGGATTGTTATTAGCAGCTATTTCTATCTGTAGGCATGGGAATGCAGGGAAACAGCTACGTACGTGGCAGGATTATTTTTAGGTACCCGACATAATAGGACCAGGCAAGCCCATGAGCAACGTTCTGCTTGGACCTCTCGGACATCTCAGACATCTCCACTGCTGAGGGCTTCTGTGGAGGGAAGGACACACAGACCAGGTGATGACAGCTGCCACCTGGGTCCTTCTGCAGCACTCAGTTCTCCAAAGGGATTGGAGAGCTCCAAAGAGATCTGGAGAGTGAACAACCCACCAGCTCCTTCCCCCACCATGCAGGGCAGAGCCCCTGACAGCCCCCACAGCCTCTACAGAGGAGGGAAGTGGGGCTGGAGTGAGCCAGGCATTTCCCTGGCTGCACCTTCCACTGGGATCGTGTGTCCCAGTGCAACTTCTGCATCTGCTCTGTGCTTCCAGCATGGGAGAGGAGGCACCCCAGTGCCTGATGGTGGGATTCCCAGTGGTCTCTGCCAGCTCTGTGTGTAGAGATGGGTGTCCTGTCCCACAGGCTCCTGTTAGAAGAACCTTCTGCAGCCTGTGTGCCCTTCCTGCACCGCTGGGGCACAGCAGAGCTCTCCCACTTCTGCAGAGGCACCTGGGGCTTGGCTCTGCCCCAACATCACGCTGAGAATTGAGAACACACAGACTCTGCTTTTGCCTCAAGCACCAGCTTGACTGACATTTAAAATACCCCTGTTTTTTGTGTCGGGGGGCCATGCCCTCCCCTGGAATGGCTGTGCTCACTGGGAGGCAGCCTGACCCTCCTGCCAACGCTCCTGGCAGCACAGGGCCAGGGAGATGAGCTCTGCAGGGCTGAGCTGAGAGTGCTCCTCCCGCCAGGCTGGCTCTGGGTAGGCTGGACATGCAGAGGCCGTGTAGAGCTGGCTACGTGCCCCCATGGGCTGAAGGGTTCCCCGGGCAGCCAGGCAGGCTGGAGGTGTGGGAGCCTTACCTGCAGGCCCAGGGCAAGGATGAGGAGCTGGCACAGACTGGCCAAGATGAGGTGGAGGCCGAGTTTCTGTCCACCACCAAGGAGAGCCACGCAGGCTGAGCCACAGACGAGCAGCATGGGCCCATGCCAGCGTGGGGAGAGGCAGCTGCTCAGGGCCCTCCAGAAGCTGCCGTGGTGCCTGGGTGGGAGAGGGAGACAGGAGTCAGGCTTGTGGCCACCTACCCACCCTCAGCAGCCATGGCCAGGGCTGCTCCCATCTCCTGGGTGCCACCAACCTTCCAGAGCACTGCAGAGTTGTGTGGGACTGTGCCCAGCACACCCCAGTGCCCCAGAGAGGGCCTGGGTACCTTGCAGCACCTGTGGGACTCAGAGGGAGCAGATGGAATGTCACCCTGGACAGCAGAGGGAGACAACAGCACCCTACCCTCCAGCACGGTGGGGTGGGCAAAGGCTGGGGGCCAAGATCTGTTCTCCAGGAGAGGAGACATCCATGGACATCTGGGGGAGCTGGGCAGGTGGGAGAGGGAGCAAGAGATGAGAGGGACAGGAGGGTGACAGAGGGCACGTGTGGGCACAGAGACCAGGAGCAAACCCCAGCACATCCCGAGGCTGCCCGTGTCCCCAGGGTGGTCCCAGGAGCGCCGCAGGCAGGCAGCCAGCCCCGCTGGCTCACCTGGAGTCGACGTGGAAGATCTCCTCGGCCAGGTAGCAGAGGCCCTTGAGCAGCTCCCCGGCCTGCAGGGTGGCGAAGTGGAAGGCGAGGCTGCGGGCGGTGGGCACGAGGGGCTGCCCGGCGAGGAGCAGAGCGGCGGCACAAGCGCCCAGCAGCACCAGCACGGCGCGCCGCGCCCGCCCGCCGCGGGCCCGCGGGATCAGCGGGGCACGGCGCTGCCGCCGCCGCTCCCGGGACATCTGCGGCGGACAGCGGTCAGCTGCAGCTTGTCCCCGGCCCCGCAGCGGCAGCTCGTCGCCAGCACCCGCGGCAGCACTGTGGGAGCGGATAAGAGCAGATCAGGGGATGCGTGCGCCCAGCGCTCACTGAGCATCCCGAAGCGCACAACCCTTTGGGGCGGCTCCCCTGCGCTTCCCTCCTTAGCGCTGTCCCCTGTGCCCCGATGGGCTCGGCACGATGAGCTGGCTGGTCACCCCGCTCCCAGACCATGCCAGCCCGCCCGGCTGTGTCACCCTCTGGCCGCACTCACCGGAGCAGCTTCCAGCGCCAGCCCCGCGGTCCCGGCGCGGCGGTCCCCGAGCTCCGCTCCCGCCTGGGCAGCGGGGGCTCCTTCAGAGGCTGCTCAGACACACGCCCGGGCTTCCGCAGCTGCACAGAAAAGCGCGCAGAAAAGTGAAAATGAAAGAAGCTCTGGCAGCAGTGGGCAGCCTGTAGAGTGCCAGAGCTCACCCACACAGGCGTCCATGAGATCTCTCAGCCCGCAGGAAATCCAGGCACTGGTGGCTGCACCAGATTTCGATATCCATGAGTTTGCACATCCTGGAAAGTCCCAAGTCTGCCAGTCTGAGGGGAACTGGAATGAGGAAGGAAACCAGACTTTATTGAGATTTCATCTGTCAAGGGCAGCAGATTTCAAACATTGCACTGATTCAGCTCAGCAGGTTGCCAGGGGCAAAACAGACTCAAGCTCCATCTAGCAGAAGGTGACTCACAGCACCCTGGATGCTCCTACCCCACACATTTCCAGGAGATGCCAGGCTGGGAAGCAGTGCCCATGAGTGCTGGCAACACAGCAGGGGCTTCCTGCAGCCAGGCTCTTGGTGGCCAGTGAGGCCCTCGAGACTTCCAGTTCCAAGCAGTGGAGAAGTACTTTCCTCCTGGAAGAACATGGGTTAGGGGACACATATGCAAGCCCATAGGAGCAGGTGGGATGCACTCAGGGATGATGAGGGAGATGGATGATGGCCTGGCAAGATTCCTCTCTGATGTCTTTGGAATGTTGTAGCAATCAGGAGGTTCCTGGTGAGTGCGACAAGGAAATATCAAATCCAGCTTTGAGGAGGTGAACTACAACCTGCTCAATATCACCTCTGACCCTGGGGAAGTGATGGATGAAAATCCTCACAGCAAGGATGAGACAGGAACAGCCATTAGGGATTTCACATCACATCTGATGGACCCAACTACCTGGAATGGCAAGAAAACTGGCTGTAGGGATGAGTGGAGAACCTTCACTTCAGCAAAGCCCTCAGCATGGTCACCCATGGCCTCTGTGGAGCCCAACTAGGTAGATACAGGCTGGGAAAGGGACTGACTGTCCAGAACACACTCAGGGTCCCATTGCTTTCTGTCCAGGAATGCCCCTGGGTTCCAGAAGACCCTGACAGTCCCTACAGACCCACATTGCCAGGGTGTCTGGAGGCTGTCACAGGCTCCACAGCACAAGGATCTTGATTCAGACATGCCCACAGTTCACATTCAATTAAAATCATAGAATTCAAAAATTATTTTGGTTGGAAGATACCCCTGCCACAGCCTCCCCCAGCTGCTCCTCATCAGACATGAGCTCCGCTGCCCTTCTGTGGACACAGCTCCAGCATCCTCAAACCCAGAGAGTGGCAGGAAGGGCTGGCAGGGAGCTACTTGTTTTGGTGGTACCTTAGAAACCCCAGCAAACCATCTGGCCAGTGTTCCAGCCCCAGGAGGGCCTGTGGATACAGCCAACATGTTGTTTGCTTCGTCAACACAAAGGCTGGCTAAAACATCAAGTGAATCACTTCCTTCTCCAGCGCTGAGATAAAGCTTGTCCCATTCCAGCTGGGCTTCCCTGACCTGCTCTGGTTGGCTCTTCAGTGTGGTGGATGGGCTGCCTGGCTGCCCAGACACCTTCTTGCAGGTCCCCAAGCAGTTGGTGGCTCTCCCCTGCTCTCAAAGCCTGGCCTGGCTTTCAGTTCTACCCTCAGCACACAAACACCAGCAGTATTTCTGTCTCACTTCTGTTTGGAGCAGAGCTGTGGTACCGCTCCAACAGGTGAGTCTAAACTCCAGGAATGAGGTTTCACAGAATTTTGGAACCACAGCATAGCTGGGGTGGAAAGGGACCTTAAAGTTCATCTCATTCCCACCACCTGCCATGGGCAGGGACAATTTTGACCATTTTCTGTGGACCAGGCTGCTCCAAGCCCCATCCAGCCTGGCCTTAAACACTCCCAGGGATCCAGGGGCAGCCACAGCTTTTCTGGGCAGCCTGTGCCAGGGCCTCACCATCTTCACAGGGAAAAATTTCTTTCCAATATCCCATCTAACACTGATCTCTGGCAGGAGGTCACTTCCTCTTATTGCTCTCTACAGCTCCTGAAGGGAGGTTGTAGACAGGTGGGGTCAGTCTCTTCCACCAGGCAGCAACTGGCAGAACAAGAGGACACAGCCTCAAGCTACATCAGGGAAGGTTTAGGTTGGGTATTAGGAAAAAATTTTCACTGAAAGAATAATAAAATACTGGAATTGTCTTCCCAGGGAGGTGGAGGAATCACCATTTCTGGATATGAAAAAAAAAGACTGGACTTGGCACTTGGTGCTATGGTCTAGTTGTGGTGTTAGGGCATAGGTTGGACTTGATCTTAGAGGTCTCTTCCAGCCTCATTATTCTGTGATTCTGTGATTTCCCCTTGTCCTGTCACTCCAGGCCCTTGTCCAAAGTCTCCTCTTGGAGCCCCTTTAGGCCCTGGAAAGGGCTCTGAGCTCTCCCTGGCTCCTTCTCTTCTCCAGGTCAGCACCCCCAGCTCTTCCAGCCTGGCTCCAGAGCAGAGGAGCTCCAGCCCTCAAAAACATCTTTGTGGCCTCCTGTGGACACCTGGAACATCTGAGCTTGCCTGAGAACAGAAAGCCCAGTGCCACCCAGTGCCTCTGCACAGCCAACAAGAGGTGGCAGGATTGAAACTACCCCCACTGTCCTCCCCGGCCTTCCTCTGGCCAACAACTTGCTTTTCCAGATCGTGCCTTGATTGACATTCTCTCTGTCCCTGTTTGCTGTCATTCCCTCAAGCAGAGGGAACAAGAAGTCACACACGATGCTGGAAGATTTTAGATGCACATAAAACCCCACAAGGCACCTCTAACCAGGCTGTGTGAGGCTGAGTGGGGCACAGAAATCAGCTCTGTCCACAGCAACCTACAAATATGGCAGCCCTTGCTGAGATCAGGAGAACCAAGGAGTCCTGGAATATCCTGGGTTTGAAGGGACCCACAAGGATCGTCCAGTCCAAATCCTGGCCCTGCACAGACACTCCAACAATCCCATCCCATCCCTGAGAGCATTGTCCAGACACTCCTGGAGCTCTGGCAGCCCTGGGGCTGTGACCATTCCCTGGGGAGCCTGGGCAGTGTCCCACCACCCTCTGGGGAAGAACCTTTCCCTGATACCCACACTAAATCCCCTGACACAGCTCCAGCCATCCCTTGAGTGCTGTCCCTGGTCCCAGGGAGCAGAAATCAGAGCTGCAGCCCCTGGGGAGCTCTGGCCTCAGTCTCCTCTGCTCCAGCTGGACAGGCCAAGTGCCCTCAGCTGCTCCTCTGGGCCCTTCACCATCCTCGTGTCCCTCCTTTGGATGCTGTTCCTCATATTGTGGTGCCCAGACCTGCCCCCAGGTAGAGGCTGGATACATGTGGCATGTCCCCAGCCAAAAGCCAGGCCAGGAACAGGCTGTTTTGTTTTCCATTCATCCCTTGGGTGAAGGGCTGTGAGCAGGTAGCAGCAGCATGACAGAGCTGCCTCTGCTGCAGGATGGGCACAGCAGCAGCACTTCCTTCCTTTAATTCCCTTTTTTTCCATTGCCCTGGGAAAGAGCTGCTGGCTTCATGCTGAGGGCAGGCTGCCCAGTGACAGCTTTCACTGGGGATACCTGCAGGGATGGAGTTCCAGTGCCAGGCTGGTGTCAAAAGTGGCTTTGGTCCCTTGACTAAAAGTGCTGCAGTCGGTGTTTTTAGTGCTGCAGTTGCACCAGCAATGTCCCTCAGAGGTCCCGTGTGACAGGGCTGCTTTACTGACACAAAATAGCAAAAATAAAGTGCTCTGCAATATTCTGTGTGGCCTTGGGCTGTGTGAACCAGGCCAGACTCTCTGGTGCTGCAGGAGATTTGATGGCAGCAGGAGAGCTGCTTCCTGAAGCTCCTAAGCACACCTTGTCTCTCACCCACTGAGGCAGGCACTTCCACACACCACAGAATCATGGAATACCCGGAGTTGGAAGGGACCCACAAAGATATGAAGTCCAGCTCCTGACAGCCCCAGGAATCCCACCCAGTGTCTGAGAGCATTGTCCAAATGCTCCTTGGACAACCTTGTTGGTCCAAGCATTTAGCTGTGAGACAAAGCAGGTGGCAGCCAAGGTGGCCAGGGAGGTGTCCTGCCCAAGGATTTGGGAGTTTCCCTCTTGGCCTCCAGATTCTGCAGAGCCCTGCTCTTGGCTCACAAAGCCCACCCAGGGATGTGCTGCCTTTGCAGGGATGTGCCCAGCTTGGGAGATGCTTTGCCTCGCCCTGACCCCAGCCTGGACCCCTCAGCAATGATGAGTTTAAAATCCTGGTGGCAGAATGGAGCATCCCTCCGTCCCGGGCTCGTGGGGCTGCTCTGAGTGCTGCACGCCCCTCACCCACTGAGGTTCTGCCTTCTTTTGGAGCACCAGAACCTTCCCAGGAGAAAGAGAGTTTGAATTTAATAGATGTCAGTGGATCAATCTGAGATTTCTGAGTCTGTCAGCTGCCAGCACCTGCAGGCTCTTGCAGCACTGATTCCCCACTTACATGTTGGGTGGAAAAACAAGTTTTACTCATTTTGGAGCTGTCACAGGCTGGCATTGGAATATGGTGATTTTCCAGTCCCTTTCAACCCAAACCATTCCATGATTCCATGACTGGGTTGGTACTGCTGGGCAGAGCACCTTTGGCATAGGAGCTGCTCCTGGTCCTTTTTTTCTGTGAGTTTTCACTTTGCTTTGAATCTTGCCCAACACTGAGGGTTTCTCCTTTTCCAGTTGTGCCTTTCCTCCTTTAGAGTGACTTTTTTGCACCTTCTAACAAAGGCCTCATAAGTTATGAAAGCCTGGAATAACTAGATTTAACCAGCTTGGCTGGGAAATTTCTATTTCTTTAAATCCTTGTGTCTTTCCCTAAACCCTTCAAGAGTTTTTTCCCCTAATACAGCACTGCAACTTGACCCTGTGGAGCAGAGCCCATCAGAGGGAGATGGAGGAAAGGCACAGGGAGACAGGAGTCATCTGAGGACAAGGCAGGGCTCAGAGAACTCCCGCAGTGGCGCTTGGATGGTTGGGAGAAGATGTTGGCATGGGAAGGTGCTGGCAGCAGATCCCTCAGTACCTCCCTTAGGAGCTCAGGGCACAGCGGTGTCCCAGTTTGGGGACAGCCACACCCACAGGGGCTGCAGGAGCAGCTCTGGCCCTGGGAGACGGGAGGGAGGAAGCTGCAGCTGGCATCTCCTCAAATGCTGTGAGGGGCTGTGAAAAGCTGGGGCTGCCCCTGGATCCCTGAAGTGTCCCAGGCCAGGCTGGAAGGGCTTGGAGCACGCTGGGATAGTGGAAGGTGTCCCTGCCCCGAGTAGGAACTGGGATAATCTTTAAGATCTTGTCTGAGATTCTATGAAACGCCATTCCTGGATGTCTCAAATCTTACCTTGTGAAAAAACATGATGAAAATTACTTCCCTGCTTCCATTTAGCTCGTGGAGCAACTTTGCATCCAGCTGGCAGCAAACAGCAGATCGTCATTATCCCTGGTACTACAACCACAACCAAACCACTTTTCTCTCTTTTCCTGGGGACAAAATCCAACACTTCTGTGAATGCTAGGAAAAGGTTACCTTCACCTTTGCTGACTGAAATCCTTAGAGCTGTGAGTTGAGGGTACTTGGAAAACTGCCCCAAGAACAGGAAAAGGTTCCAGAGACATTCCCAAGGGGTGGGAAGCCTGTTGTGCCTTCAGGGAAACAGGAGCATCTCCCAGAAAAGAATCTGTGATGTCACTTCCAGCCTCGGGATCAGGCATTGGCTGGGCCATACAAAGGGAAAGCAGAAAATGCTAGAAGCAGTTTTACCCCAAGCCAGGACTGCTTGGGATTACTGTTTGAGCCTTTCCAGCTCTGTGCCAGGATAAGGGTGTGTTGCCTTGTCATTGGATCAATGAGCTGTGCAGGGCTGTCTGGAATTTGGCAATCAAGGCATGCCCAAAACGAAAGAAAAGAGCAGGAAGTCACAAAACAAACCAAAGTAGTTGGAAAAAACACCAACAACAAAAAAAAAACCAACCCACCCAGAGAGTAATTTTTATGAATTTTTCGTTTATTTTCTCCGTAACAAATGTGGAGGGAGAAGAAATTAATTAAAATACATCCTGTGCTACAGCCTCCAGAAACAGGCAAGTCTTGCAGAATGCAGGCAGCGAAGTTAGAATGAGAATAGCCCACCATGGCCCAGAGGCAGCAGCAGGGACCCTGAACCCCTCCTGGGCACAGGAAGGAGCAGGGACAGTGCGTCACCAGTGGTGCTTTCAGTGCCATTTAACGTGACTTGTGCTTCCCAGGCCACCAAAGGCCCCCAGGCGGGATCAGGCCAAGCCAGTCACCCTAGTCACCCCTGCTCTGCCTGGCCCGAGTGCTCCCGGCCTGCCCGGGCTGAGGCCTCGGGGGGCGGGAGTGCAGCAGCTGCACACGGGGCCGGGGTCCCGGGCCGGGCCGGTCCCCTCGGCCCCGCTCTGTCCCCTCGGCCCCGCTCTGTCCCCTCGGCCCCGCTCTGTCCCCTCAGTCCCGCTCTGTCCCCCTCAGCCCCGTTCTGTCCCCTCAGTCCCGCTCTGTCCCCTCAGTCCCGTTCTGTCCCCTCAGTCCCGCTCAGTCCCCTCAGTCCCGTTCTGTCCCCTCAGTCCCCCTCCGTCCCCTCAGTCCCGCTCTGTCCCCCTCGGTCCCGCTCCGTCCCCCTCTGTCCCCTCAGCCCCGCTCTGTCCCGCGGCCCCGGGCCCGGCTCGGCCGGGACTTGTTCCCGTCCCGACTTCTCGCGAGAGAACGCGCGGTGGCGTCACGCGCCGCGGAGGCCGCCCTCGCGCGCGCGCGCTCGTTCGCACGCCGCCGCCGTATCCTTCCGCGCGCTCCCCCTCCCCCTTCTGGAGAGTTCTGCACGGCGGCCGGCACGACAAATAGTCCCCGCGGCTCCCCGCCCTCTCCTCCCTCTCCCGCTCCTCCTCCTCCCGCCGCTCAGGTCCTGGCCTCTCCCTTCCTTCCCCTCCCCGCCACGGCGGCGTCTCCGCCCCGGGAACCGGAGCGGTGCCCGGGGGCAGCGGCGGCGGCGGCGGCGGGGCGGAGTGATCCGCTGCGGAACGACGCGGAGGCAGCGCATAAAGCGGCGGCGGCGGCGGAGGGAACGGAGGAGCTGCGGCAGCGCTGAGCCCGCGGCCGCCACCGCCCGACACCGGCCCGGCCCCGGCCCCGCCGCCCCGGGGGGCCCCGGTCCCCTCCCGCCCCTCCGCTCGCTCCGTCCCTCCCCGTCCCCTCCCCGCGCAGCCGCCACCTCCGCGCTCCTCCTCCTCCCCCCCTCCCCTCGCAAATAGTCCCGCGGGCCGCCCCCTCCCTCCGCCCGCGCCCCTCCTGCCGCCGCCTCGCGCACACAATGGCGCTGAAGAGAATCCACAAGGTAAGGGCCGAACCGGCCCGGCCCCGCACGGCCCCGCTCCCCCCGGCCCGCTCGCCTTACATAACCCGGCCCGGCCCCGGGCCTGCGGTGGGGGGGCGGGCAGGCCGGGCCGGGCCGGGTTCCCCCCGCGGGGCTCGGGCCGGGCGGCAGCGCAGGGGCCGCTCCCGGGGGCCGCGGCCGCTTTGTTCGAGGGGGGCCGGGCCGGGGCTGCCCGCGGGGCTGCACCGCGGCCGGGCCCCTCCGGAGCAACGTGGCCCCCGGGCCGGGGCCGCGAGGGGGCGCCGGCGGCGGGGCCGGGCCCGAGGCGGCGGCGGCGGCCCCGGCAGCTGCTGCGGCCCCGCGGGGCCCGGCCCGGCCGCAGGAAGGCGCCCCGAGGAGCGCGGCGTGGCCCGCGCCGCGAGTTCCGGCGTGGCTCGGCTCGGAGCCCCGGCCCAAGGGCTCCTCTGCCTCCTCCGGCAGCGACCAGGATCGCGGTGTCGGGCGGCGGGGCGCAGTAAACCTGTCACACTGTAGTGTGGTTTGCTCTTTTAATGGAGCCAGCGCTGTTCTACAGCCTGAGTCATCCCGCAGCCTCGTAGGGGAAGCTACGAGCTTGCCTTCTCCTGGAACGGGAGCTGCGCCGTGCTCCATGGCCTGGCTTTTTGGAAAAACACTGCTTCCCAGTCCGTTGCCGTCTTAGGCCAGTGTTTGATAGCTCATCAGTGTCTTTTACCAGGAAAAACACTCTCGACGGTAATTGCAGTCCACTTGTATTACCTCGGTGACTCAGGCAGGGAGTTTGTATCCTTTTCCCTGCAAAATGTGTAGCTGTCAGTTTGGAATCTGTACAAGGTTCAGCTGTAGGAAACAGCCCTTCCATAGTGTTTCTCCTCTTGATGGCTATGTAAATTAATTTTTATCTAGAACCAGCTGTAAACCCACTACCTCATAGGTCACTCTCTGGCCCTGTTTGGTTTTGTGTGTAGTGTCGGGTCTTTGTTAACATCTCTGCTTTGGTTGTAGGTTACCTTGGAGGCTTTATGAAGCTTCATGTGTCCTACTGATCAGGTTAAAGCTCAGGTGGAGAAGAAAATGGAAGAGAGCTTGAAGCCTTCCTTGTGCTTATGAAATAGGTAGCCCTGGGAAGGGAGGTGTTTGGAGTATGATTTTAGACTGTTGGATTTTCCAGCTGTAGATCCAGTAGTGAATTACATAAGGAAGTTGTGTTCCAGCCGAGTCTTGCTTCTCTGCAGTGTTCCGTCCCATACTTTAGTGGCCTTCAAGGCATTGTGGGGACTGTTCCCCAGTATTTGTGGGCTCACAGGTGCTTTGGAAGAGCTCTTACTCCTCAGCAGTGGGTTCATAGGCTTGGGAGGCACAGCACTGGATGCTGAATAGGGTAAATGTGGCTGTGGGGGGGCTGGGCTCCTACAGCAGTGCAGGGCTGTCCTGGGGAGGGTGAATCCTTTGTCAGGTAACTCAGGAAAGCTGCTTGGCTGTAGTTTAGTGTATGCTGAGGATTAGGAGTCAACATTCTGAGAGCACTTGCATTTCCAGGCTGGTTTGTGACAGGAGAAAAGCTGGATGTGTGGAGTCTTTGTTAACCTTGGGTGCTTGTGGACTGACTCTTGTTGTTTTTCAAGAGTAAAGAACCCTGAGAGATAATGGGGACTGTGCTGGGGTATGAGACTCTTCAAAGCCTTGGGAACTAGCAAGAGCATCATCAAAGCAGTTTTGTGTGAGCTCTGCAAAGAGAGTTTCAGTGGAGTGAGTGCAGTGGCTGTGGAGGAGAGGGAGATGATGGGGCTGGAGGCAGCATTTCCGCAAAACAGCGTATAGGGAGGGAAATAAATCTGCCTGTTGTAGCAGCCCAGATGCTTTGGAAGTTGGATGGGCGTGAAGCTACAGGCTGGAAGGAGCACTCGGAGTTGCTGTGGGTGTCTCAGTGTAACTGCTTCAGTAATCATGGCTGGCTGTTTACGCTCTGGCTATTTTAAACCCTGTGGAGAGCTCTCCTATCATCATCTCAGGGTTGTTGTGGTCTCTGGGAGTGTGTAGTGGCTGTCCTGGTCAGAAGAACGAGGAGACAGCCAGTTTCTGACCTTTGCTGCTGCAGCTTGTGGCAGGAGCAGGAGCCTACAGAATGTGGATTGAGTAGGAATAATCCCAGTGGACTTGAGCACAGAGACATGATGGCAGAGAAAACTGCTGCTTTGGCTTTTTTTTAAGGGTGTTATCAGTCATGGTATATCAGTGTGAACAGCTCAGTCTGGCCACTGGCTTTTGCTCTTGGCAGTTGGAGTTTTTACTGAGCCACAAAGGCTTTTTATGAGGTTTTTGTCAAAATTTTTGTATCCTCGGATAACACAGTGCTGAGAACTTGGAAAGGAGAAAATCCCAAGAGTGAAGGTTTGGTGTAGTGTTACCTGAAATAGCCTCTTGTGTGTTGAACTCAGCTGGGCTGGGAGAGGGGCAGAACAAGCAGTGTTGTTGCTGGTGTGTGAGGCAGCACAGGAACCTGCAGGGTCCGTCCCACTCTGTCACTGGTGGCACAGTTGCTCTAGGGATTGTGCAGAGGCTCGAGCTGGGGTAACATGTGTGCACACAGCAGCAGCTGTTCTCTAAGCAGATGCTCCAAAAGAGCTCAGGCTGGGTGAGACCTGCTCTCAGATTGCTGCCTGTGTTACTCACCACAGTATTTTGGGCAGTGCGGCTCCAAATTCTTGTTTAGGTGCTTTTATTGGATTATGGGTCTGAAACTTGAAATCTTTTCTTGTGAGAAGTGCTTGGGGTGTAAGCAATACTGCCAGGCAGAGTCCTTGGGGGGTAACACTGAAGTATAGTAATTGAATTGGCATTTTTATATATATGTAAAAAAGGTCTATTTTATTCTAGATGTATTTTATAAGAAAAGCAGTGTGAAGCAATCCAAAGGCAGGATGGGAGGGATGTACAGGAGGGCCTTCCATTTTAAGGTTTAAATTGAAACCCTTTGGATTCAGCCACATCCCCATCTGTGGTGCTTATCTGTAGGGAATGCAATACCTATAACTGGATAACTAGGGCACCGTTTGGAGTTCTTTGAATGGAAAAGCAAGGAAAAGGTTAGCTCATTGTCTTTCACGGGTTCCCCTGTGTGATCGGCGGGTGAGGGGGAAGGGAAAGCAGCAGCTGTGCTCGAGTCCTGCTCAAGTAAAACACTTTCTGTAGCAGAGGAATTGGGGATTACTACTGCTTATAATGTATAAGCACAAAAACCAGGTAACTAAACTGAATTCCATAGTGCTGTTCCTGTGTAGCTGGGGAAGAGGGGAGTAGTACTTGCTCTGGACCTGCAGTCCAGAGATGCTTAGGCATCACTTCTGCCCAAAGGAGCAGTGCCTGTGGGTGGGATGTGTGAGGACAACGGTGCAGACCAGCCTTGGTGGTCAGAGTTGTCTTTGTGCTACCTGTGCTGAGCAGACCTGGTGTTATTTCTGTGCTGTCAGTTCTGTACAGCAGCCAGTGGGAGCAACTGGGTTCTTCCGCTGGGCCTCTCGCTGTGTGCGTGGAGCTGCCAGAGCAGCCCATCTGTGCTGGAGAGCTTGTGTACAGAGAATGCTGCTGCAGCTTCTGTTAGCTAGAGAGGTGTTTTGATACTCGGATTCTACACCAGGAGGAAGTTACACATTGCTTTGGTCTTCTTCCTGTTCAGGCTTTGGGAAAAAAAAAATAAAAAGGAAAGGTGACAGTTACATCAGAGCTTGTTTATTACATGTACTTTGGCTATTGCTGTGTTTCATGACTTCTCATGCTGCTCACTTGCCTTCTGACTTTTGCAGAGTCTTGTGAGGAATCAGAGTTGGGGGATATGAGCAGCTTCAAGCATTGCAAAAGCAGTTTTTTTCTAAACAATTAAAATGCTTCTGTTAATTGTAGTGGCAGATACTCTGGAATGACAGTCCTGTGGGTGGGAGAGCACCTGTGGACACTGTAGGGAATTGTTGGTCTGACCTTGGTGCATGGGTGTGACACTGCCTCCTGCCTAGTGCTGCTGGGCAGCAGAGCTGAGGGAAATACCTCTGGATACAGGCTCTGGCAGCTGGCAGGGAGGTGCTGCTGGCCCAGGGAAGGTGCATGGGCTCTTCCCACCCTCCTGCCCTGCTGGCCCTGCACAGGGAGCTGGCAGCTCCTCTGTGCCATGGTCCTGAGGTGAGGCAGGGTGTGATCAATTCGACTTTGCCCTCAGTCCCCCTTTGCTTGGCTTTACTTTGTTGGGAGCTGGGATCAACTCATGGCTAAAGTGGCTGGGAGTTCCTTATTGGTTACGTAAGTCAGGATTTTGTAACATCTCCCTACACTTACACTGCCTGTTGCTGAAGGGTTCAGGGGCTTCAGGCAAATAAACTTGCTAAAGGCAAATGAAAAGCTTATTTCACTTAGAGCAGCAACCTGAGGCAGAAATTAGGTTTATAATCAAGCTAATGTGGTCTCTCAGTAAAGTACAATGTGAAAACAGCTCAGACTGGAGCAGAGTGGAAAGCCCATGGAGTTCAAGCTAAGAGGACTTTATATGTATTCCTCTGGATTATCCAGTGTGTTGGAGTGCATTTGAGGAGCTCTGCTGTATACCAAGGTTTAGTAAAATTGCTGGAGCTGGCTTGTTTAAAAAAAAAAAAAAAATGCTGGCTTTTTAGTTGCCTGATTGGCTTCTTGATGTTGCCAGTTATGTTGGTTATTCTTACTGAAGGCTGTATTAGCATTAACTTAATCCTTAAAACTAGTCTTATCTTTTTACCAGAGCAGGTTTTACCAGGAGTGTGTTAGACTGGGGAGGGATTTTTGTCTAGAGGAGTAAATTGGAACTTTGCTAACAACTGTCTTTGGAGTTGATAATTATCAACTTGAAACATGTGCAGGGCTAAACTTATAAGACTTAAACCATTTGCGTTTGAGTTTTTTGAAAGCTTCTTGTGCACTTTGGATGCCTGCAGTGAGGTATGTTTTAAAGGCACTGTACCAGCTCCTGGGAAATAGAACAGGAGGAGGGTTGGGATGAGGGTGGTGTGCGGCTGAGCAAGGCTGGTGGCACTGGTTTACCTGTGAGCCTTGAGGCCTTCCTGGCAGCTGATGCCTTTCATGACTTGGGAAGCACAGTTGGGGGATATGTGGTATGAGCATGTTCTATCTTCCTTAAAATGCTTTACTGGAACCCCTGAATAGGGATTGCTTTGCTGGGAACTTAAAAGCATGATTAAATTGGGTTTTGGAGCCTAAATGTCAGTTTCTTGTGAGATTTTTATAGCTTTTAGGCTGTCGCCTTTGTGGATTTAATGGTAGTAGTTTTGTTCAGCTTGGCCTTTAGGCAGGACACCTTGTACCTTGCTTTGTGTTGTTCTTCCACTTCTCATTTTTGCTAAGGGACTCATTAAGAGTTGTGAGATGGGTCATGTTAATGGTAGGATCCACAGCAGTGGGCCCAGCCCCAGGGATATTTTGCTTAGGGGAGATGCAGAAACTTTAAATTCTGTAAGATGCCTTCAGCTGGAAAGCCAGCTCAGGGTGAGGCAGCCCTGGGAGCTGAGTAACTCAAACTGGAACTTGATCTAAAGGCTGCTTGTAAATTCCTGAAGCAAAACCTGCATGTGCTTAAGGATCAAAAACTGTCTGGAGTGGAAACTGCTATGGCTTTTTTCAGGTTTTGGTTTAATATCAGTGGTCAAGGTCAGTTTTGATCATGGACCAGCAAGACTTCCTGGATCACAGGGAAAAACACTGGGACTTTGCAAGGGAATCCAATACATTTGGGTTGTAGATGATACCAAACTGTAACTGCATCCTCCACGTGTTACGAGTTCCAGTTTTATGGGAACTCCAGAGTCATTTGTTCTGAGTTGCACAAACCAGCTGCTTCTCAGAGTCCCTCAGCAACAGCTGGAAGCCAAGACCTCTCGGGATCTGGTGTCGTGCTCGTGATACCTCGGGAGCTGCACAGGAGCCTGCAAAAGGCACAGCAGCCTCTGGGACAGGTGCCTGGCTCTGGGCAGCAGCTGTGGGCACTCTTCTCTGTGCTACCAGTCGTGAGCTGCTCCTTTCCTGTTCCTAAACTTGGCTCTGCAGGTGTACTGGGAGTCTTAGAGCAGCTGGAAGAGAATGGAGCTTATCTGTGCCCTGCCAGGAAATCCAGGAGTGTGTTTGCCTCTCCTGTAGGCAGAAGCAACTGGTACCTGCACTCCAGAGGAGTCTTGAGAGGTGAAGGGGAGGAGCTGAACTGTTCTCCAAACTGTTCTACAAAATTTGTGAAGTTTGTGCTACAGGGGCTTGAATTGAGAGTTGGTGTAATACTTTCTTAAGCACAAGGAATTTACGCATTGGCTTTTACACAGACCTTTTAATCTGTGATGTTTCACTCTGTGAATTTATGGAGCCGAACCTGAATTGCCACCTTGTCACTGAGACAAGTGGTACAAGTGATTGTTGTAAGTCATCTCTTTGTACTTTCAGAAAACTCAGAAATCTTCCTGGAACTGAATATGTAGAGAATGAAATAGTATTTTGATGAGAAGCTCCTGAACTTCACTGCTGCCTCTGTGTCTCTTGGGGACTTACCTCGTAGTCCCTCTGTTATGTGCAGTTTGAAGTGGTTGGTGCATTTGGGCAGCAGGATGTAGGGTGAGTGTCAGGGCAGCTCTGGAGCTGTGTATTCTGCTAACTGGTAGAATGTGTGCCCAAGCTCATGTTTGTAACTATTTCCCTTTTATAGCAGGGAAGGTGCATGTTGTGTGTTCATAAATATCATCCATGGTGGGTTGTGGTCATGCATGGAAAACATGAGTTCTTACAGTTGTACCTTCTGAGTCTTGTGGATGTATAGTATTGATGCATAAAATGGGATGAGAAGTGGTAAGGAATATTTTTTTTTTAGTTGTGTGTTTGGGGTTTTGAATACAATAGCATTAAATAGTTTTTTCCAGAAAATCATAGTCCAAGACTGTTTGGAAGTAGACTGTATTCCATACACCTTTAGAAAGAGTAGATGCATTGCTCTTTTAAAATTTTCATGCCTGTTGTGTGTAGACTCAGTTCATTCTTTGTAGCCATGACTAGACTGCCCCTAAGGAAGGTGGGCATAGGTTTCTGCACGTTCCTGTGTTGCCCTGGTGGTTCAGGGTGCTGAAGTACTGCAGAGGGCTTTGTGCCTTGGGAAGACCCTTGGTGATGCTCTCTCCACCTCCAGGAGTGAGAAAGCTCTTCAGCAGGTGCTGTGTGCTCAGTGTCTGTTCCTGTTCGTGTCCATGCTGAACAGCAAGTGGAAAAAAAACAGCAGGAGCACTAGAAAAGCTTCCATAGTCTGGTGTCAAGTCAAGGAGGCTTCCAGCAGGGCTCTATAGAAGCTGGAAGCTGCTGAGGGCAGAACACAAACTTGTGTATGTGTCAGGGCCTGTGAAGTTTTCTGGGGCACAGCATGTGGAGGGGGAAATCCAGAGATGTATGTGTTTGATGTGAGGCAGCATTTGTGTCTTGTGGGTTTGGTTAGTGGTGGCCTCCCAGTTCCTGGGAAGTAGAAGCTGAACTCCCAGAGATCATCTGCTCAAAAGCTTAATCACTGCCTGTAAATAACAAAAGGCCATTAAATGGCAAATTTTCTTCCATTCCTGCAATCAACTTGTCTTAATCATTGTACTTACATATTTTGTCTGCCAAAAGCCTGGTATGGAGTTTCCAGTTTGGACTGTTCTGGGAGGTGAAAAGCTGAACACAACAATGGAGCAGGGACAGCATAGGAGTGTTTCCTGAGCATTAGATAATAGTTGTAATCCTTATCTGGTGTGTGTTCAGCTTTCTAGACTGAGTTCACAGAGGAAAATGGTAATATGTTCAGGCCTATCATGTAAAGCAGGTCAGTGACTGAACCAGAAATGGAACAGGTAAAGTTTGACTTTAAAGTTTTATTCTGTTTGCACTTCCCACCAAACATTCACTTCCTAAACAAATGGCTGAATTTCTGGTAACAGTAACTCTCTGAACTGTGCTGAAATTTTGCTTCAAATTGAAGTGAAACAGTATAGTTCAGGTGTACTGTGGGTTACTCACCCTGTTCAGACTCATAATAGGATTTCTTCAGAGGAGAATTTGACTGACACAGCGACTGAAAAAGTGGGGGATTTCAATAATGTGTGTGGGCATGGAAGGCCTTGTGTTGTATTCCATTCCACCCATAGTCACTGGTGTGTACGTGTGGAGGTGAAACAGCCCCAGGTTATGGGGGCTGTGTGTGCTGCAGGCTGGCTGTGGAGTGATAAACTGGATCACTGTAGCTGGAGCAGCACTGGAACTGTTACAGCTGAGGGAATAAAATAAGGCAGATTCTGAGAGTTGTTGGATTGAGGCCATCTTATCTCTCTGTGACCCAGGGCTGGTGGAAGATTCAGTACCTTGGTAATGCTTGGGACCAGTGCAGGCAGTCCTGACAGCCCCTGATGAGAGGATTGCTGTGACTCAGGGCTCTGGAGCCTGGACAGGTCACTGAGGCCTGTGCCGCATGTGTGTCTCCTGGGTTTAAGATGAAACTTCACTTTCCAGAGTCCTGGTTTTTAGTTCTGTGGCACTGCCAGAGTGCCTCTAGCAGCCTTTAAGCAATGATATGGTTCTTTTTGAAATCAAGTGAAACAAACTCTTCCTGTTTTTTAGGAGTTGAACGACCTGGCACGTGATCCTCCAGCACAGTGTTCAGCAGGGCCTGTTGGTGATGACAGTAAGTATCTGCTCTCAGCAAGCACCTGCCCTCTCCCACGTTTTTCCTTTTCCTTCTGAAATAGGATGTCCAGTGCCTCAGCAAGTAGAATCCTTCTGTTTATTTTTGAGTACTAGATAATACTCCGCCTCCTGATCTTAAATTTGCTGCTCTTCTGTATCTCTTACACATTCCTTGTGTGCCAGTGGTGTTATTCCCACTCTATTGATTGGGCAACTCAATGCACATCTTAAATTAGGCCTTTCAGATTAACTGTTCTGGAATCCTCCTGGGGGATGGTGTTAGAAAATCTCAGTAGATCTGTGGTCAAACCAAGAAGCAGCTGCCCACAGCCTTCTGAACTGAGATATCTAAACCATACATGGTGTCTGAAAACTGCTCAAATCAGCATGCCCTGCCAAGTCCTGTGTAAGGGACAGCCTCAGACAGTCTTCTTGGCCTTCCTGTTCAAGTCTGTTCACCTGGGGAGTGACTGGGACTTGTTGCTCTGTTCTGTGCTCACACTCTTTCCTGTAGCAGCTCTGACAGTGGAAAAGGCTCCTTGTGAACCCTTGGCAGCTGTGACTGCAATGCCCCCAAACAGCACACAATGAATTTGCTGTGCAGTGTGGTCTGACAAGTGATGTCAGCAAAGCATCCAGGCCCCTGAGAGAGAGGAGAGTGAAGCAGGGAAACCCCTCCTTCTCTCTGCTGAGGGCTCTAAGCTCAGGTATCCTTTCTAAAATGAAAAAAATGCTGCCAAGATATTTGAGTAATTTCTGAGCTACTCAGCAGTGCTGAAGTGTACAGAAAGTTACACATTCCTGTAGAAATGTAGGGCTAAATAAAAAATAATCACTTGAAACCTGAGGGTGAAAATACTGAAGTTAGTAGGAATGTTCCTGTTTAGCAGCTCTTTCAAATGAGTGCAAGCCCAGCTTGGTGTGTTTAGCAGTAATTACTTCGCAACCTAGTTCTGCTTTCAAAATAGTATTTCAAAGAAGTTTGTAGTTTCATAGACAAGAAATTACTAAAATGGAGAGCCAGGCAGAAGCTTTTATTCCCTTAAATTAGCAAGTGTGATTTGTGCCATGATAAACTACTTTGTGTTTTCCAAAGCCTTATCAAAGGTGATGACGATTGTCTGGCAGAGGAGGTGGTAACAGAAGTTGGTGAAGGCTGAGAATGGAAAGTTACTACTGATACAGAAAGCTTTAGTGCTATTCAATTCTCCTGGTGCCACCTTTCTGAAAGACCTCTAATGAAAGACTTTTGTTCTTGAGAGCCACAATTTGGATGTGTGTAAGTGGATAGCAGTGGCAGCAACAGAAAGGTGCCTTCTCCCAGGTCCCTGTGCTCCAGGTCTGCTGCAGCTGCCTTGTCAGAGCGACATTTCCCAGAGTTCAGGACATGCTGTGCTTGCAGAGTGCTGTCCTGTGGCTGTTCCAGCTGATGCAAACTGTCCCCAGCTATAAGCTTCTCATCCCTGGGGTTCATGAACCTCAGAAAGTAAAGAGCTTTCCTGCTTTGTGACCTGTAGGAATAGGATTTTCTTGGCAATGTAGTTTTAGCTTTCTTTTACCCACCTCTGGCTTGTGTTTTGGAAATGTGCTGGGGACTGGATGATGTTGGTATGCTTCCAGGCTTAGCCTTTTCCAAACATGTATCTGTGCTTACCTACTGAAAGCCAGCAGCCCCCTGCCTTTGTAAATACTTCTGTTTGGCTGATTGCAAAGGAAAGAATCAATTGGAATAAGCTCTGCATGACAAATCCATCTCTGCATTCACCAGACTTGTCCTGGATGTTACTAGGATTAAAAGCTTAGATTAAACAAGCATCCAAGGCTGGGGTGGGCACTGAGTGGGAGAAAACACAAACCTTCCTTCTAGCTTTCAAAAAGTTGAGATGGCCTGTGGATATGTTTTTATTTCTGGAGTTTAGTTGAGTTTAAGGAAATCGTTGGTTATGTGAGGTTGTCTTTTCAGTGGTGCCTTTGCAGAGCAATCAGAGTGAATCTCATCAGGATCTGTGAGATTTTTACTGGTTTTGTTGGGATTGGCTGCAATCTCCTGTGGGATTTCTGCTGCACCTTTGTCCTCTCCTCCATGTTTCTCCCTGTCCTGCTGCAGGTGGCAGGGAGCTCCTGGAAAATTGTCTGAACCCCTTGAAGATGGGTGAATGCTACATGTGAGCTGTTGTCTTGGTTTCCTACTTCATTGGATGTAGAGTTTCTCAAAGCCAGGCTCCTGAGAGAATGACTATTTAAGTAGCGAAATCCTCTCTCTCTGTTAGAGCTGAGAACTCTAAGCTCAAGTATTCTTTCTAAAAGGAAAAAATGAGCTGCTAAGATCTTTCTGAATAATTTCTGAGCTACTCAGCAGTGCTGAAGTGTATAGAAAGTTACACATTCCTGTAGAAATGTAGGAGTAGGTTAAAACAAACCTGTTCCAACCCAACACTCTTCTCCCCTGGCCTTGCAGAGCTACTCCCACTCTGCTTTTTTCCTCCTTCCTTGTATGAGATCATTCTGAGCTGTGTAATGCCTGTACCATGTGTAATTAAAAACTGCTTGTGCTAGATGAGAACAGGTAGTGCCACTCCTGCTTTTGGCCCAAGTAGTCCTGACAGCTGTGGACACCAGGTGCCAGTGAGGCACAGACACTTCCACTATGTCTCCTGTCTTGAAGACTTCCCTTGAAACAGCTGCCATCATCTACAGCTCCCCAGTTCTGAAGGTGCTGTGTAGGTGACATCCATGCTGAGGGAAGCTTCCACTAATTCACAAATAATTTCCTAGGCTGGTGCTCTTTGTACAGGCACTGAAGCCTGTGGAGGCACAGGAACCCAGTGTGCCTCTTGCAGACTATCAGCTTTGGCTGTTTTCCTTTCCAGCACAGCAACATTCTTCACAAACCCTCTGTGCTACCAGGTGAAAGTTCTCTTGGGCAGATGCATACAAAGGAGGATTAACTTCTGTCCGTTTATGAAGTGTGCTCTGACACATCCTGCTCCAAGTATGGGGCAGACTGTCATTCCTGCATTCTCTGTGGACAGTTCTTTCTGTTTTAGTGAAATCTTGAGGCCTCTGTGGAGATGATGCTTAAGTGTTGTGAGGACACCACTGGTTTAGGTCACCTTTGTAGGTGTGGTTCACACGGAGCCTGGCCTTCCCTTCCATGTGTCACAGGTCTGAGTAGGAGAGCAGCTGTGAGTTCATGCTGGAGCTCTGCTGTAGCTGGCTCAAAGGGGGCAGTCGTGGGTGCTGATTCATTAGAAATGACAAAGTTTAGGCTCACAATTTTGAGCCTGAAAAGTTGCCCAGAACTATGTGGGTTTTTATTGTAATGGGATTTTTGCAGGGCACATGTGTGGTACCACAGTAGTCCTGGAGTGAGGACTGCAGAGTATAGAGTGCTTTGCTCTGTCTCTCTTTAATTCCTTAGCTCGCTTCCCTGCAGCCTTTCAGAAGGCTTTGTTTTTAAAAGACTTCTCTTTTCTGTGCTGCTATATCTGGAAGAAAGTAGATCATTACTTGAGCTTCTCCAAACTGAAGTAAATCTCTCTCTCTTTTTCAGTGTTCCATTGGCAAGCTACAATAATGGGACCAGTAAGTATGAGAGAATTGATGTTCACGGCTTTTTATGACTGGTGGTCCTGTAGTAACTCCTCAAGCTGCAATGATTCTTTTTCATTAACAGAATGACAGTCCCTATCAAGGTGGAGTATTTTTCTTGACAATTCACTTCCCAACAGATTATCCCTTCAAACCACCTAAGGTGAGTGGCTTCTGCCATAAAGCTATCTGTTACCATGTGATGTATATTTGTGAGCCTACACTGAAATTTTCCCTCTTCTGCAGGTTGCATTTACAACAAGAATCTATCATCCAAATATTAACAGTAATGGCAGCATTTGTCTCGATATTCTACGATCACAGTGGTCCCCAGCACTAACTATTTCAAAAGGTACCTCCAATGCTTATTTCATTTTACTCTGCTAAAATGAAGTACTGATTTGGGATGTAAAAGCTGCTGCATTCCTGCTGGAATCCACCATTTCTGTGGTCACTGCTTCTGTCCTGTGACTCTACATGGAGCTTGCAGCCAATTCCTGAGCATGGCATGCTCAGGACATCCAGCTTCCCTGTGGCCGTAGGGAGACTCCTCAGCTTTGCCAATGGATCAGATAAGTCTTACTACACTGAGTACATACTCCTGCCACCTCACCTCAGAACACTTCAACTGAAAATAGATATAAATAGATATAAAATAAAACCTCATGTGTCACAGTGGAAGAGTTTAATGTTCAAGATATGTCCAGAGTAAAATATGTAAGGGAGCGGCTGTGGCTTTTAAAAAACAGTGAAGTTGCTAATTCTTTGTCATATTAAAAACAATTTCTCTTTCAAGGGAGCATCAGAACTCCATGTTGGTAATTTTTTAACAGAATTTCCAATGGTGTAGACTACTAAAACATGGTTTAAAACTTGCCTAGTTTGAGCAATCTAGAATAATTAGCTAATAGCATCTTGGTCCCTGTGAACTGTGTTAGCTTGTGGGTCAGTGGAATTTAGCCTTTGCCTGGTAAAGCAGTATTCATGTTTAATATAAATAGAAAACTTTAAACATCTTGAAAGAAGACACAGGCTGGATTTTTTGTTTTGGCTGTTGAAACTGTAGATTTACAAACTGTGGTTCAAGTTTGTAGGTCTGGCCATGGCTATTTAGGAATATTTGGAGTCTACCCTGTGCATAATCATGTCTTGACCCTTTTGTTATGTAGCTTCACACTGTCCTTGTAATCAAATGCTGCAGTTGTCACATTGATTACATTGTCCTTCACAGTGTCCCTTTTCTGAGGTTCTCCTGTTGCCTATCCTTCTCTGCAACCACATGTGATGTTCCCAGGCATTTTCTGGTTCAGATAGGTGATCCTGACACATCCCTTGGACATCATCACTGTCTCCTTTCCCACAGAAGTTCCCACCTTTTCTGTCCAGCTAAAGACATTTGCAGAAGCAGATGGAAAGGCAAAACATCTCCTTGTCTCTTGTCAGATGTGAATCTGCTTGGGCAGAAGGCTTAAAGTCTTGAAAGAACTGAAAAATGGTGTCAGTGAAATAAAAATGATAGATTGTCAGGTTGCTACAGTTTCCTTACAAGTGCTCACTCAGTACTGGCTGCTCTTAGAAGCACCAAATTAGCCCCTGATAGCTGGTCTGGCTTGATTTAATTCCTGCTTAACTGGAGAAAATGCTGTATTGTTTTAGGGAGTCTGAAGTGACCAGATGGGTGGTGGGGTGATAGACAGCATGGTTGAAAATACTGGAAGATAAACTGGAACTAGGACAACTGGAAGAAGATGGGGCAAGAATTTAAGAGGCTGGTCCAGGTTGGCAGTGAATGGCATATTAGTGGCTGTCACCTTTAATAACTCAGAATACAACCTAGTGTTAATTTTACTGCTCAGATACATTTGCAATATGCTTTAATATCTCAATCTCCCTCTGTGTTCTACTTTATACTCTCTTTTTCATATCCTGTTCAAACTATATCCTTGTGACTCAGCTGGAATAAGCCATGGGATCAGCCACCTGCCCCTTCCAATGCCCCTCTGGCCCCTGGGTTTAGGGGGCTCTGTAGTGCTGATCACTCTTCTCATTGCTGAACAGCTCAGCTGAATGCCCACACTCTGCTGCACACAGCCCAGCATCCACACTGCTCTAACCTGGGAGAAAACCTCATCCCAGCTCCCTTGGGCTACATTTACTGAAGGAATTAAAACAACAAAGCAAATTCCTAGGTGTGCTTTTATAGGAATACTTTCCTCAGAATCACAGGGATGCCCTGTCAAAAGGCAGACTTCAGAAGCAGAGAGCTGATACTTAGGGGAAGTATTCCCATCTTGAGCAAATGGAAATAAAGTCCACAAAGGCAACTTGAATCTTTTGGGGTTGAAATCTTGAGTTCAGTCAGATTAGAGTGTGTTGTGACAGACTTCAGGGATGGACCAGCCTTATCAAAGGAGGAATGTGTTGTTAACAGGAAAAATTGTTGGATTAGGTAATTTGTGGTGAAAAATAACACTTAAAACATTCAGCAATAAGCTCACACCTCTTCCAAAGCATCAATTTATTATTTGTAGTGTAAATTTCTAAGAGTATTTCCTAAATTGTGCCACACATTAAATTGAATGCTACTGGGAGCAAGCTGTTTGAATTTTAAATCTGTAAGCAGATAACTTAGAGCTCAGCTATGAAAAAATGTACTTCCTACTGATTGAGAAATCTGGGAAGAGTAGAAACAGTCCTTGTAGGAAAGAGCTTAACATGCACAGCTTCCTCCTGAGGTAGGTGGGAGGCAGCACTGTCAGCAGCTCACTGTTATGCTCACAGTTAATGTGTGGTACATGAAGATGTTTTTCACCTTAACCTGCAAGGAGAGAGGGGAAGGGGTGTGCAGTGACCTCCTTTGGGTTAGAAGTGCCACTTTTTGTTGGGGACAGAAAAATCATACCAGTGCTACTTAATCATTCCAGTTCAGTGGTAAAGGTAGGGGTCTTTGCTCCTCACACTCTGGAGCCAGCCCTCTGTAAGCAATTTAATAAAAATTGTGGTTATGATAAAGGTGATTGGCATTTTGGGGTTTTGTTCTGTCCCTCTTACAATTGTTAAAACTTGGGAGAATAGCAGTGACTGTCTCAGTACAACAGCTGACTTGCTTATATTAGTAATTCTGAACTCAGTGTTCCCTCAAGAATACATACTGGAGAATAAATAATCTCAAAATACAGTCTTAACCACACCGTGGTGGGTAATTTGAACTCCAAGGCTTAAGCAGAATGCGTAGGCTTAAATTAAAAACATTATCTCCAAGACTGCATAAATAAGAATCCCAGTTGCCTGAAACAGGAGAATATGAAGTGTTTTAACATTATTACAGCTATTCTCAGCCATTTTTGGGGGGGAAAACACGCTTTCTCTTGAATTCGGCAAGTGGCTGTGCAAGAGTTAATCCTGAACTAAAGCACTTCTGCAGTAAAGTTTGGACTGATCTGCTGTCTTGTCCCACTTCTCCCCATGTTTTGTAAGGAATAAATTGTGGAGCCTGTGTGAATGTGCTGGAGGGCCCTGCCTGGGAGGGGCAGTGAGTAACCTCAGCCTCATTCATGCAAGAATGCAGCTCCCACTCTCCAGGCTTCCATGCCTGCTGCAGTGGGGATTTTATGTGGTGTTGCTCTTCATGAATCACTTCACTAAGACTTGCTGGAAGTAATAGTACAGAGGGATTGAATTGGACATTCACAGTGCCATTTTCAAAATCTGGAAGCTGGTTTCTGATCATCTTGGCTTTTAGTTTGCCCGTTGTAGCTTTACCCACATAACTGGGGCTGGCTTTGTCACAAAACATGGGTCAATCTCTCCAGCTGTGCTGAGTTGGGGTTCTGAGGGAAGTGCCCACTTTTATGTTTCAACTCTCACAATTGTAACTGAGCCACTTGTGCAGCTTCCCAGGAGCTGTCCTTGCCTCCAGAGAAGGCTGTTCTAGGAAGAGTGCCATCTGGGCTGTGATCCTTTGCCTCTGTTGGGTGCTGACAAAGCTGTGCCTGGAGCATGTGTCCAGTGTGGCTCCCCAGCCAAGGAAAGCATGGATGTACTGGAGAGAGCCCAGTGAGGGGCTGGGAATGCCATGGAGGGACTGGAGCATCTCCCCGTCTGAGGACAGGCTGAGAGCTGGGACTGGTCAGCCTGGAGAAGAGGAAGTTCAAGGTGATCTTATCAGTGTCTGTAAATACTTGAAGGGAAGATGTGGAGATGACAGAGCCAGACTCTTCTCAGTGGTGCCCCATGACAGGAGGCAGTAGGCACAAGCTGAAGCACAGGAGGCTCTCTGAACAGCAGGAAACGCTTGATGTTGTAGTTTTACAGTGAGGATGCTAAGCACCAGCACAGGTTGCCTTGGGAGGCTGTGGGCTGTCCCACCTTAGAGATACTCCAAAGCCCCTGGACATTGTCATGGACAGCCTGTCTCAGGTGGCTCTCCTTGAGACAAGATGATCTCCAGAGGTCCCTTCCAACTTCAGCCATCTGTGATACACTGGGCAACACTTAACTTTCCTTATTTTGTCACCAGAAATTGTTGAACTGACTTAGCAGGAATGCAAGTTGCTTTGAAGGCAGAAGTTTAAACTGCTCAGATTTAAAGGTACACTTCCTGTAAGGCTGGGGAAGATGGCTGGAGGAGTTGGAAATGGGGCTGTGGTTAAGAAATAGGATTTAAATCAAGCAGAGGCCAGAGTTCCTTTCATTTCTTCAGATGCATCTTTCCTGTTCACAGTCAGGAGCCAGGCATTTGAACCTGTTGGTCAGTGCTGTTTCCAGTGTTGAATGCTGCAAGTTTAACATCTGTCAGTACTGAGAAAGCTTTGACAGCTACACGTCTCAAGTTTCAAGGGTTTGGGGCCTGAAACTCAAAAACAGTGATTGTGTAGGAAAATGCTCCTTACAGGAGTCAGGTTTTTATCCTGATTTTGAAGAATAGAGATGGGAGTAGCAGTGAACCTTGATGTGTAGGATGCCAGGCTGATGATGAAGAAAGGAGCCCTCATTGGTGAGAGAAGCAGGAGAGCTGGATAAACCCTTCAGAATGGAGTTAAGCTTTCCTCAGCAGCATGACATGTCCCATGTCTGCTGGCAGAGGTGTCTCCCAGCATACCAGGCTCAGTCAAACCTGAGCTGACAAATGGTTACTTTTACACTCAGAAACTGGGCTGGGCCAGAAGCACAGCACTGTCTGCCAGAGCCCATGGCCTGGTCTCCAGGAGGTGACAAATCACTTTCCTTCGAAAGCCCTGGCCCAGTGTTTGTCGTTCACCCAGGACAGAGCAGGTGGGGTGGGATGTTGCCTTTGCTGTCTATTCATGATGGCCAGGGATTGATGCTTCCCTGTTTTATCCAGCTGCTCTG